AATACTTGATGAGCGCATGTGTGCCTGCCCAGCTAGTTTAAAAAAATAATCCTAACTGAACTGATTATGTGAAAGTGGTGTATTGATTTAGCCCATTCAGCTTGTGGTGCTAAAAGAACTATTGCTTGTTCTAGAAAGCCCCTTCATGATGCTATGTTTGCATGGCTCTTCAGACAATTCTGCAGAATGAGAAGTGTGGTTGAGTGCCACCATGCTTGCATTTGCAGCTACCTGGAACTGGGTGCTTCTGTTACAAAGTCTTTTACATAACAGTGATTTTTTTCCAAACCACAAAATAGCTATCTTTCCCTTCCCCCATGTTGACATAGCCTTTCAAATTTTTCTTTATTCATTCCTTTTTTACTTTTTAAAGGACTGTAAATACAGAATTAAAGTATGTTAGTTCCATGTAAAGAAAATCAGCAAAGCGAGTAACTACAGATCAGATTTGAAAGAACAACAACATTTTTTTCATCCTTATAAGGCGGATGACTTCAGTGTGTATGTTGTCTGTGATCTGATTCTATTGGAGCCATTAGAATGTGGATTTGTGTTTGTTTTGCTCTGTGTAAAATGTGTAACAGAAACCTGTATGTGTTCCCTTCTAGTCTATACTTCTAGACAAGAATTGCTTTTGGTCTTTTTTTTTTTTCCTCTTCAAAAAAGAAATCCTGATTTGTCCTGGGCTCTCTTTAAAAAAGAGGAGTTAATGATTTCCCATGAACTAATTTATTTCATTGATTTGGCTATAAAAAGCCCTTTATATTCGATTGCCATCTTGTTAACTCTCAGGAAAATGTGGTATCAATCTAATTAGCAAGGCTGCGTAAGTGTCAGAGTGGGATGTTTGTGTCATGCATCGTTTTTCACTGAATTTTTAAAACATGGCCAAAAGTTCTTGTGAGCCTTTCTGCAAAGGGTCTGGTTGACCAAGTCGCTATTGGCATACATATTTTTGACTTTGCTGCTTAAATTGCTTTGATTTTAAATTATCATTTAGTTAGAATATGAGTTCTTAAAATGGCTGCCAAAATAAACACTTAGTGCCAAGAAAGATGCTTTCCTTATATGCAGTTGTTATAGGAAGCATATCCAAAGCATGATCTGAGACATGCATGATGCTTTCAGAAGCTTGGAAAGCTGTCCCAGAAGCTCTACTGCTTGTATTATTTTTCCGCAGCTCAGTTTTACTGCATTACTCCTAACCATAATTAGTCTCTGCTAAGGTTTTCCTTCCGCTGTTATGCCATTTCTATATCCTTTTGAAAACCGTAATTATGACATCTTCATAGCCTTCCTGCCAGTTATTTTTCTTTTACATTTTCTTTAATTTTTAATATTATAATAAATTACCAGTTTATTATAATAAATGGCGTGTCAGCAATATCTACATCTTAAATGTTTTAGGGTGTATTTTTTTCTCTCCTGCTCTGGACGTAATCTGTAAGATGGTAAAAAATCCCTTTGATCATTTTTGTTTGTTTGTTTTTTCTTTTCCTTTTTTTCTCTTTCTTCCTTGAACTCTTCACCTCTTTCCATTCTCCATACCTAGTGGGTTGGAAATGCTTGTGTTAGTGCTTCCTGCGATTGGAGCTGGAGTTTCCTGGCTAGCCAGAAGATGGTTTTGGTACTGTCCATCTAGCATAAGTAGAAGGTGCTTGAAGCCCTTTGCTGACACAGCATCTTGCAAAGTTATTAGAAAGAGCAGAGAGGAAAGATGGAGAGGATTGAACAGGTATTTTCTTGTTACAGATGGAAACAGGACAGCAAAGCAAAACACTGGTGCTGTGCATGCAAAAGGAGAAGAACTTTAGAAGCCCTAAGCTGCTGGAGGGAGATAAAAATGTAGGGATGGGAGATATAAATGTTGGCAGATAAATATATTAGTATTACATTTTATTATCTTCTTGACTGCAGGAATTTATAGTGAAAAGGTGGCACTAATGCCAGTGATGTCTTTACCTACATTCTATTCCTACTTCAGTCCTGTCATTTAGCATCATCTGATAAACATGAAGGAGTGGGGAAGTAACAGGGCTGGGAGCACAACAACAAAATAATTTATTTGCATTTTACATTTCCTCTACATTAGTCATACCATTTTTTCACTTTCCTAATAGCATGTGTTTCTGGAAGCAAATGTCATGCATTAGTTTTGTATAAATTATTTTTATATGAATATACACAGTCCTTGAGCACACAGTGCATAGTGTCATTTTCTGAAAGGCAATGCAATGTATGTTCCCTATTCGCTGCATTGTGCCTCATTATTTAGTAAATACATGGCATTTTCTGTATCAGAACAGTGGTTTTTGACAGTGAAGAGTAGTATCCTATTCCTTTTATCCTAACTCCTGTTACCTCTGTGTCTGCCTTCCAGTGATAATTACCTTTGCCTATTTCTCCATTCTTGAGGACTTATTTCACTGATGGATGTCAAGGTCCTTGCTCTAATAGGATTTACTGTTAGACACATCATATAAATTTAAAGAAATAATTACCACTGTAATTAAGCCCTGAATCCACTTCTTACTGGAGGCAAATACTACACACAGTTTTTCATTGTTTTGTGAGGGTGATTTCAGTGTCTAGGAGGTGGCATACCTGCTTGATACTGTTTGATTTAAACCTTTACTCAATATGGGTATTTAGACCTTTACTCAATAGTCAATATGGTCTTCCTGTAGCAGTTCAGAGTTTCTGGCATTTTTGAGAATTAAACTAAGGAGGGTGTAAGAGAAAGTAAGAGGTGTGAACTAATGTGAATATCTGAGTGATGGATAAAGATGATGATCCTGTTCAAGTTGACAACCTCGAGTATTACGTCAATGGGGAAAATAAATGAATCATAAAAACTGTGTTTATGACAGCTTATTCAATGAAAAATGTGCATGCCAATTTAATTCAGTAAGTGCACTTGTTCTCATTAGCTGCTGGTAATTATGGGGGTGTAGTCTTTCTGTTGCTCATAGTATTAGTACTGGAATATGATTTTTTTTCTTTCTTGCAGAACTCAGTGTTACTAACTACCTTTAAGCAGCCAGTATAATAGAGACTTGGGATGAGTGTTTGAAACACAATTCAGACATTCTGATAATGTTATTTCACACATTTGAAACAGGTTATAGAGCATTATTGCAACAATTGAGCGTTTAGTAGTTCTTAAGATCACTTGTGCTTTAAAATGTACAAAGTACGTATTTTATGAAGGAAGCACCCATTTTTCACTGCCAGTCCCCAAATCAAAGCTGTAAATTGTTTTCATTTCTTTCTTTTCACCCTTCTTAAAACCACAGAAACACCAGCATCTAAGGAATGAGATAATGGTGTGCTACCCAGACTTTTACACTAAACAAAACCTAGAGGTATATGAATGGTGGTAGACTAGGAGACTGCATGTGTGCGAACGACTGGCATCCGTGGTGCATGGTGTGCTTCTGACTGGCACTTGTGGCTCCTCCCCATCAGTCATTTTTCTGACTTGCACGGTGTGTTGAGTGTTGTGTTTTTCCAGCATGTGGAATTACTTGCGTGGATAATGAATGGATGCAATGTTTGCGCAGAACGGTCAAGGGGACAGGGGAAAATACCTGTGCTTGCAACTCACGTTTTAAAGGTTTTTCTATATTGCAGGTCCTTCAATAGCATTTGTGTGACTCCCCATGTGATGCCTCTATTTTAGTGGCTAGAAGTAGGCCTGATACTTCTTCCTCATCTTACTATAGCACATCGGGCATTGCCTTAAGTAATAAACCAGTGCAAAATTTAAAGTAGGTCTAAACGTTTCACAGAATGCCTTAAATGCTGTGACAAATCTATAAAAGTCCATCTATTGGTTATGTACACAACTTCGAAAGAACTCAGTGTACAAGAAATTCCAGGGAGGAATAGTAAATACAAATATCAATTTAGCTTGATCTAGGAGAGAGCTTTTTAACCAGCTGTTTGCATCTGTAAACTTTCTATGGGGGCATTGTGATGCTGTGTGAAGTAACAGAAAGAACAAACAAAAAACCCCATCCTCCAACATTATATAATACTCTAGCTAATCTCATCTCACCAAAATTTGTCTTCATTTATTTTCTTGTATAAATGAACAGTAAAGACATGCTTGTCTTTTTTTTAAATCTATTTTATTCTCTGATTGCAGTTCTATTCTTTAATTTTATTAAAGATTCCTTTAATAAATCAAGGATTTTTGCTGGTTCTGCCTCTTGCCCACCATTATCTTGTCCTAATCTATTTTTGTCCTAATATATTTGCTGCAAAGGGTAAGGAAGAAAGTGAGCTACACCTAGGCTGTTATACAGTCTTTTTGTAGCATCTTTTTCAGCCTTAAAATATTTCTTTCAACAATCTTACTATCAAGGGAAATAGGTTATTAAAGAGATGGGAAGTTTCTTGACATAAATAGGTGCTAGCTTCACTGAGGTATTAAGAATTATATGCTATTATTCCAGAATAAAATTTGAATTTTAATCCAATGACATTTGATTTTTTTAAAAAAAATAGTTTATCAAATAATTATAGAATTCTATAGAGTAACCTTAAAAAAAACCTCCAATCAGAATGGGCTTTCTTATTCAGTCGTATTTCTTTTAAATAATATATATTATTTTAATAAAATATGTAAATAATGCCAACTTTACAAAATAGGTGCTCACAGGTAGAGTGTAGTGATATTTGCACTTTTTTAAAATAAGTGTATATATACATGTGTGTATGCATGTGTGCACACACATATGTACATTTATTACTGTCTGCTGGTATATACCAAAAGTAGTATTGTAAAATGAGGCTCTTCCCATGATGAACTCTTAGGTACCTGTTGCCAGTTTAAATCATAAAAAATGTTAGCATAATTTAGTGCTCCATATGGGGAGGAAAAAGGGAGTTTGTACTTCTTGAGAATACATATGGAGAGAGGAAAAGCAAGTGAAATGTAACCCAAGTGATTTTGAGATGTCTTGGTGCCTAATATTTTTTTTCTGGCTTTTCAGCTTCCTAGTTAGTTTCATGGTGGATGCTCGCGGGGGTGCCATGCGAGGCTGCCGACACAACGGGCTGCGCATCATCATTCCTCCGCGGAAGTGCACGGCGCCAACGCGCGTGACTTGCCGGCTGGTCAAACGCCACCGGCTGGCCACCATGCCCCCCATGGTGGAAGGGGAAGGCTTGGCCAGCCGCCTCATTGAAGTTGGACCTTCTGGGGCTCAGTTCCTTGGGTAAGGGGTGCCGTACGGCCCGAGTGAAAATGCTCAGTGTATTTTCCTCTGTTTGCAACTTGCACTGAAATGGTTCCTCTTTCAAGATTTGAACAGAAAAGATGTTTGTAGCCTATGGCCACAGGCCAGTCACTGGAAATGCAGACTGATTGTTGGCGAGCAGCTCCCATAGCTTTTATTCCTTTTCATTTGAAAACTGCTACTAGAACCACTAGGTTAACGGGGTTCCTTGAATGATTATTACAGTTATTACTCAGTGTTGTGACATTATAGTGGAATGAATTCGCTTTGCAGCTAGAACAGGCAGTTTATATTATATTTAAATAATCTACCTACAAAGCGTGAATAGCACAGCACTGATCTAAAGCCCAAATATAAAGCCTGCTACATAGCCACAGAAGTTACAGCTGGTTAGTGTAGAGACTTGTGTTGTATTGTCAGTAGTTTGGACTGTGCACCAGGGAAGCAGCATGGCTTTGATTTTTCTGGGGTTGAAATTGCAAAGTCAAGCAATAGGATAAGCCAGAAACTCCTTGGAAGTTTATTTTGTCCAGTGCTGCAGAACCCGTAGAAAGATCAGTTCTGCACCTATTGCTGAGCTCATTTTAGCAATTGTCAGCTGAATGCAGCAGTTACCCACCCTTTTTTTTCTTTTATTTCCTTAAGTTTTTTTACCCTATTAACTGTGGCATCCAAAAGTGAATTGAAGGAATCCTTTCTATTACAATAAATTGTTATAAGAACGACCCCAGAAATTGTAAATGTAAAAAGAACGACCCCATAAAGGGGAACAATCTCAATGCGTTTTGAAAAAAACCAGTTGCTTTAAAATTGTATCAAAACAGGCAGTCATTAGAGCCGTGATCTTGGGTAGTGTTTTTCTCTAAAGGCTTAAGGAAAGACAGAAAAGTGGGTTAGCGGTTTTTAATTGCCCACTGCTTTCAGATAGTGGGAAAAGAGAACATACCCAACACGTGCTCTGACTGTATTACTGCTGCTACAAGCTGATAAGAAAACAGGAGCAGTCCTGAAACACTGAGAATGTGATGCTAAGAGTAAGCCAACCATTCACAGTGACAGGTAGGATACTTCTGAACATCACCAGTAACAGCGCAGAAGGCATCTGATCAGATTCATTTTCCTGCTCCTTCTTCTCACATCCTTGTCACTTTTAGAACAACACAAAAAGAAATCTAAAGGACAGAAGGAAAAATATACTGTCATATTCAGTGTTCCCTTTGTCACATACCTAAATAGCTTTCCCGTTGATTTTTGATGGTGTCTCTGCCTGTTGAGGACATCTTATCTGCAAGCCTGGATATAATATGGCTTTGGTCTATATTCTCTTTGGGGAACAGCTTTGTTCCCTTCCAGGTGGCAATATTCCAGGTGGTGTACTGGCAGTGCAATCAGAAAATTGTTCTACTGTATTCAAAAGGGTGCAAACCCTGTTCTCACCAAGTTCACTGCCAAAACTCTCACCGTGTTCCTAGAAGCAAGAGATCCTAAATTCATGGAACTCATTTTGCTGACTTTTGTCATCAACATGTCATAGCTTAGGGTGGAACCTTGTTCAGTGTATGACCTAACTCCAATTTGTCGACCAGACAGTGGCACTGGCATTCTGACAAAAGAAAAAAATACATGAAGTTTATTTATGTTCTTTCTTTCACTGCTGCTTTGGATGTACTCAGTAAACTTCATCTGCCTACGGCTCCTCCCCCACTTAATGAGGGAGAAAGCTTGGTCAGCCGAATCCTTCAGCTGGGGCCTCCGGGGACCAAATTCCTTGGGTAGGAGAGACTTGAAACAAATTGATGGATGCTGACCTCCCCATTCTTCTCCTCCTTCTGCAATATGATTTTTATGTCATTACGCCCATGATACTGTCCCTTTCTATGATTTGGAATTTTGTATACCTAACCTTTAGTAGACCATTTTTCGACTCTTGTGGTATGTGGTTTTGTTTGGTGGTATGTTTGTATCTTTTTACTCAAGTACTGTGGCCTTCATTTTTATTTTGGCATGAGATCTTCCTAGTTATGTGCTTGATGTCTGTAGCAAAGCAACCTGGATTTGAACAAAAAAAAGAATCTACTGTAAATTTTTTTTTCGTATTGAAGACTAAGTAATCAATAAGATATATGTTGGATACCACCAATATAACAGAACATGAAATTTATTATGTACCTGATAAACTGTGTGCATAGTCTCATTAGAGAAGTATTTATACAAATATATTTATATTTTCTCTCCTATTTCTAAGAGTGTTTATAAATATATACATGTTTAATTATAGATATATGTACGCACATGTGTGTATATACATATATATGTACACACATATACACTGACACATATATCGACATATGTTAGTAATGAAACAACAAGGCAAATTCTTATCAAGCAACAAGGCAATTTTTTATCTCCTATATGTTAATTTAAAAAAAATCATCTTCTCGGACACTTTTTTTTAATGGTCCCAGAGTGTAAATCATTAATAAATCCATTGGAATCTGTAGAATTACAATGAAGTAAAATTGGCCCAGGACATAAATTGCCCATCGATTGCAATGAAATTATCATGATTTGCACTAGTGTCAGATCGGAATTTATCCCACTATTGATGTTTGTTACAGTAGATTCTCTTTGAAATGAAGTTGCACAGGCTTACCCACACAGTAGTGACAGCTAAAATGAGCACTCTTTCTTTTTTTTTTTTTTTTATGAATTTGCAAAACAATTTTCCACATAAGCACTATTATCATAACAAATGTCATTCACACTGTAGAAAGAGGTGAATGCACTTCTCATCTGTCTTTGAGCACTAACTGGTCTCTGTAAAAGTGTCAGATGTGCTAGTGACCTACCATTTTAGGATTACAGCAAAGGGTCTTAGAGAATTAGGTAGAATTCCAGGTCACTTTGTAGCAGACTGAATAGAGTTGCTGTTAATGCTGTTTCTTCCTTCCTCCATGCACACTTAATGCGCTGTGTTGCTGTGCCAGGCCTGTGATTGTGGAGATTCCCCATTTTGCTGCTCTGCGTGGGAAGGAGAGGGAGCTGGTGATCCTGCGCAGTGAGAATGGGGACAGCTGGAAGGAGCATTTCTGTGAATACACTGAAGATGAATTGAATGAAATTTTGAATGGGATGGATGAAGGTATCCAGCGGGATAATCTTTTTCTCTCCTTTTGTTTTCTTTCTATAGCTGGAAGAGATAACATTTAGCATTGTATTTAACACTTCACATTTGATTCTCCCCAAGAATCTCCCTTGTTACATACTCTAGATACTTCATTTCAGTTATTTTGGAGCATAATAATTTTCCTAATAGGCAAGCAAGTGTAAGCACTGTGTACTTGTGCTTACCTCCCTTGCGTGATCACTGGAACAAAACAAAATATGCTATTGTTAAGGAGAGAAGAGATGCTAAACTTGTCTTTTTTCCTGCCTTCTTTCACAGTCTTGAAATGAAAGTCTTAAACTCCCTTCAGTTTGTGGAGTCTGTATTTCTTGCTTGATTTCTCTGTCTTAGCTGAACTTAAAATACTGAAAAGTTTCATTTTTCCCCCGTTTTGATTTCTAGATAAAGTGCTTATATAACTTGCAGTTAAACTGGGAAAATCTTTAATGCATTTTGAAGGTTGTTTGTGTTGCACCCATGAAATTCTTGTTCGCTGACCATCTGCACTTTTGCCTCAGTACTTGACACTCCAGAGGAGCTCGAGAAGAAGCGTATCTGCCGCATAATCACCCGGGATTTCCCGCAGTACTTTGCAGTGGTGTCCCGGATCAAACAGGACAGCAACCTTATTGGACCCGAGGGAGGTGTGCTGAGCAGCACCGTTGTACCACAAGTGCAGGCAGTCTTCCCAGAAGGGGCTCTGACTAAGCGAATTCGCGTTGGCCTCCAGGTACAGTGAAACAATTGCAAGGCTCATCTTTCCTTTCAGAGGGCAGAATTACTTTTTCTGTGCTTGAAAAACAGAATATTTGGCTGATCATTTTATATGCTGTTGTCTAGAATTTTTTTTTTCCAGTTTCCTTTCTGTAACTATCTCCATGGTCTTGAGCAAAGAGCAGAACAATCTTGATGATGATGATACTAACATAGATCATGGAGGAATTTCTTAAATAATTTTCATGAAAGACATCAGAGAAGTAGGAAGTGCTGTAATCTAGTTTATTGAGGTACAGCTTGCTCCCACCCTCCTGTCTCACCTCCATCCCTGCCTACAGCAACATGCATCCGCTTTTTATTTTACCTGGCTGTTTTGCTTGCTGAGTTCCTCTGGGGATAGCTGACAACACAGCTCAGGGCTAGTCCTGGAAGAAAAAAAAAAGAGAAAGTCAAGAATAGTTTTCTGTCATTTTAGTGAGTTAAATTAACCCCGTAGAGTCTGACAAGCACCAGGAAAATGGGTGAAGAAAGTGCAAAAGATCTACAAAGGAAAAGTCTTCCCTTCTCATGGGCAGTCAGTTCTGTATGAAGATCTTCATGAGAAATTGTATTGTTTGATGGAAGTTCTTTAGGGTTTTATGGCAATATCCAAACCCATTTGTTTACATATTCATTAAACTGTTTTCAAGTGACTTACCCTGTTACTGTCTTTTGCTTTGGAAAGGCCCAACCTATGCACACTGAACTTATAAAGAAGATTTTAGGCAACAAGGCTACCTTCAGTCCAATAGTCACGCTGGAACCCAGGAGAAGGAAGTTCCATAAACCAATCACAATGACGATTCCCATCCCCAAAGCCTCCAGTGATGGGATCATGAACGGTTACGGAGGCGACACACCCACTTTGAGGTTACTATGCAGCATAACAGGTAGGACGCTGTACTGAAGACTTTTTGTGCAACTTGAAGTTGACAAACATTGCGTGTTAAATATGTTAAATATCAAAGTATCAATCTGGTATAAGATGCGTTACAGGCTGAGCTGTGCCAGGTAGGTGGGGTTTCTTGATGGTGTTAACTAGCTGCTGAAATATCAGCAGTAACATCTGGTTAACAAAGATGTTTGCATTTCTAAGAAAATGAAACAATCTTATTTAAAGTAAGGAGTCCCCTCTGAAGAAAAATGGTGGGAACAGCCAGTCTGTTGAGAACACTGGAAAGCTTTATAAGGGAAGTTGGTTACAATGCTTCACTAAAGGGAACAAGATGGGTGGATTTTTTTGTTTGTTTTTTTTGTTTTGTTTTTTAAAGGGGAGTATTCCTTAACTGATACAGCTTGGTTTAAGATATGCGTGAAGATTAAGCCATGTTATCAAGTGAATATCTAACATGACAGCTGTGTATGAGAAGAGGGAGAGACACACAGAGATTCTGATTTAACCCCAGTAGATTAAATATAGATTTTCTTCAGTTCTTACATGTTTTGTAAATATTTGCAATTTTTGTTAGAAATAAATATTTCTATTTCTGTTTTCAGTGAGTCTGGTGTGATCTTAAGGTAACTGGAAAGCAACCAAATGTGAGGTTGAAAACCCTGAAAATAGTTTCCATCATTCATTTCAGAACATCCGAAGGGTGTTAGATTGTGACCCATTTTCAGATGTATGGGACAGATAGAAAGCTGATAACATCAGACTAAAAGGAAGCAGAAATATTTAACAGACTAGAAATCAAGATAGTAACCAAGTAGGCTGTCTGTTGTACAGAAAGATATGGAGGTGCACATTTCAGCTTCAAGGTCTCCTGCGGAGCTTGTCAGACAGACGCAGAAGGCATTCCTAGAATTATTACTGGTTGACATTCATTGATTAAAAATTCCTAACAACACAAAATGTTCCTTAGAAGCAGGAAGGCTGGAGATTTGTCTGCTCTTAAATACTTTTTTTTTTTTTTTTTATCGTTTAAGGAGGAACTACCCCTGCCCAATGGGAAGATATCACAGGAACAACCCCACTGACATTTGTTAACGAATGTGTTTCCTTCACAACAAATGTGTCTGCCAGGTATGAGTTTTGCACTGTTGTCTTAAAGTGTACGCCCTCTTTTCCATATGCATTTTGTTTTACGTTTCTTTACATTTTGTTTACAACAAACATTTATACAGCAGAAAGTACGCAAATACTTTGTCTGCTTTGAGAACCCACTAGCCAGGTATTTTGGAAGCCCTGGGCTCATTCTAGTCCAAAACAACTGCTGAATGAAAATATACTCACAGAACATTCAGCAAAAAAAGAAATCTAGCAACTGTACCAAGCCGTGATCTAGCAGAATCTCTTCCAACAATCTGTTCCTACAATGAGGTGCAATTTCTGATTACTGACAAGCAGAATTTTGAGAAGGGGGGGAGGGGAAGGAAGTGGCGAGGGGGAGTAGTAACAGTAATTTTATTATTCATGATGATTTATGTCACCAAAATGCTTAAAAATCTTGTGATTGCTGTCTGTGACAGGAGATGGCAGTCCATGGTCAAGTTTCGGCTTTGCAGTGTTGTAAACTTTGGTGACCAAATGAATTATTACTATTAAATTACATTTGTTATTTAATTTAATAATTTATTCAATGTCAAATGAGTTCAACTCCAATAGTCTGATCTATAATAAAATCTTCATTTTTCTATATTTTCCCAGTTTAGAAATTCTGTGCTTATATACATTTTCTGAGCTCCTTTCGTGTTCAGGCAAGCATTTCTCTTTAACAATAGTGACCGCGAGAGGGAGATCTTAGCTGTCATCTGTTACGTACAATAACCTGCTGAAATGGATAATTAAACAAATTAAGAAACAGATGTGGAATCAACCCATTAGGGGTACTATTAGTGGATATTTTTAATCTCCATGGTAACATTTAAATTGATGACTACTGCAAATCCGTAACATAGGTGGAGTTCCACCTCTCTTTTTAATCAAGATAAATACTCAGCCGCATACTTGAATCCAAGTCTGATTTCAAATGCCCTTAACAATAGAAAATGTAATTTTTCATGTGTTCACTGTCAGAGAATTAAGTAACTTCATAGATGAAGGACAAGCTACCTTGAATTTATATACTTGTGCTCTGATCTAAAAGTGCATCTGCTCTTTTACCCTCGTATCATGTGGAGAATCAGCTCTTCACTGTAACTTGTTTGTGTCTAATTAAGTACTTAAATTAATGATGCAGAAATATTTTTCCCATTCATGAGCTTTGGAAATGGATCTGTTTTTTTGAAAATATATGCAAGTTAAACTGTAGGCTTTGAGGTACAACTGGTTTCCACTTCCTGGGTTACAGCTCTTCTTTAATTTACTGTCTGTGTAATTTTATTTTTATCCCCTGCTCTGTGGCAGCAATTCATTTAGAATATTTCAGGTTTTGTCAGAGTAGGATTGTAGTGTCTCAATTGTTTTGAGTCCAGCATAGTATACTTCTTTCACACATTATAAGCAGATTATTAGTATAACAAAGCTTTTATGTATCAGACTTTCTGTCTGACTTTCAGACGTCATCGGCTTGTTTTTTAACCATTGTGTTTATTAAACGTTATAAAGAGCATGCAATTCACTTCATTATTCAATCACAGATGAGTAAGACATCACATTTGAAAGACATGCTTTATGGGATATAATACCATGTAATCTACAGTAAGTAATAAGCCCCCTGTAGGTTATATCAGCTTTGAGGTGTCTTTGACCTCTCACGACTTTCTTCTCAATTCTACAAGTGTCAAACTCAAGCACGCTTTCCCACCTACACAGCAAACTTTGTTCAAATGAAATGCCAGCAGCTCAGAAGACAAACTAAATGAAGTGATAGCTGAGAAAGAAGGTAATACATGTTATTCATTGTAAAATGGTTTATACTTTTATGCAGATTCATTTTGGGGTGCAAAAAGTAAATTTATTTTAAGAGAAAGATGCTATCTTTTCAAAAAAACAATGCAGTCATCTTGACAAAGTATATGGAAACTCTATCAGTTTTTGTCACTGGGCAGTGTTGTCCAGGCCCAAAGAAAAGATCAAGAACCTGTAATACAGTAAAGAGGAGAGTCCTTTTGACAAGGAAATTTTGCCTGTTCTGGTGGTTGAAGATTTAGATCTCAGTTCCAACATCCAGGGTATTGTTGTAGGTGCTCATTTATGTCTGTTCTGTTTGGGAAGTACCTACTGTGTGCGGTGACTCGTTCCAGTACACGTGCACTAGCAATCTTTTGTGAGAGGCAGACGTTCATTTGTAACAACCACAGTAGTGAGATCGGACAAGTGGTGGTGTTACGCTGCAATGCTGAAGTGCTTCTTTCTCGTGTTGTCTCATGGTGGTACCTGAATGAGATGGCAGCGTGAAGCTGGTTCTGGCTTCACTCCATGCAGAGGAAAAGACAGTCATTTAGTGCGGTAGCAGCTGTGCGTTGCTTTGAATGCATTTTCCATATGACTTGTGCCATGTGTGTCGCAGACTGGAACCTCTGGTGCAGAAGATTCAGCATATACGCTACGACAATGCTGTCAATAAAATGCCATGCTGGAAACCAGGATAAAAAATAGTGATCACAGCCTCTATAAATCAAAGATAATAGAGACCAGATATGGACCTACATACTGTCTGATATTCATAATATAATGCTGCTCAAATATGGAAATATGCATATATTTGTGTTGGTGTGTGTGTCTGTATACGTATTTTTATAAATATGCACCAATCACTGTTCTTTAATATGCATAACAAAAAATCGTAAGTCTCTGACTGGTTTCACATAACCCTAATCCCTAATTTCTCATGTTCTCAGTTCAGTTTGTGATGCTGTACATAAGGAATGTACTGCTGACATTTAAGATAGAAGAAAAGCTGATGTTTTGGGCAAAAACATATTTCATCATATTTGATCTGTGATACATGGAGGCATTAGAACAGAATCTTGGTGTGTTGATTCCACAATGCTTCATTTTCTTTTACAGATTCTGGCTGATAGACTGTCGTCAGACACAAGAATCTGTTACTTTTGCTTCCCAAGTGTACAGAGAGATTATCTGTGTCCCTTATATGGCCAAATTTGTTGTGTTTGCCAAATCACATGATCCCATTGAAGCACGGCTAAGATGTTTTTGCATGACAGACGACAAGGTGGATAAAACTCTAGAACAACAAGAAAACTTTGCTGAAGTTGCCAGAAGCAGGGATGTAGAGGTACAGTACAAGAATCATGAACAATTTTCTCTGTTTTATAATGTCTGTTTTGAAGGTAATATTGTTTCCTAATATCTACTACAAGAGATGAAAAATAATGGTGTATAAAATATACAAAGAAAGACTATCACTTAATGGTAAGATGCAGACTCTGACTTGTCAGATGCAGGGGAATGGGAATGATGACACAGGAATGACCGTATCACCTTGGCAATTGGCTATAGCCAAACTGTTAGTTCACAGGGCTGGTAATGAAGTTCACTACTGAGTCATCTATTATTGGATTTCTACTTTTCCTGGCTTCCAAGGTGTGCCTCACACAAAGGGAAACATGGTCATCTGATTGTCGGAAATTAGAAGGGAATTCCCTGATGGGCTTTGGCAAAGCAGCTTATTTGCTTTCTCCATAGCGTTATTGGTCTTCAAGTGGGAGATCCATTGTGTCCTCAGCAATTAAAAAAGTAGGCAGCAGGATCCAAGAAGGTATTTTGTATGAAGAGGGACCAGTAAAGTCTGAGCGCTCTGTTGAGAGCCTGAGATCTGGAAGACCTATAAGATGAAAATGGATTGAATGTTTTTGTTTGTTTTTGGTAGACTCATAAATCAGTTTACCTAGTAACTGGATAGTTTTTTTTTTTGTAGGAAATAATATAATAAAATAAAGTTTGAAGGGTTAGCATTTCTTAGAGAAGTTTTGAGTTCTTTGTCCTCTCTTCCTCTGTTGCCACAGCAGGCATTTCTTTAATTGAAGGATTCAAATTAGAGCAGCAGCTCTTCCAACTAGGAAATTGTTTGAATAACAGCTGTAAAGTTTGTTTTATGCTACCTGAGGCAGAAAGTCCACTTACAGTGATTGCCTTGGTCTTATGCACCCAAAATCCAAGTCAAGTTCTATGGCTATGTGAAATCCCTAGAGAAATTTAGAAATAGAGAATAGAATAAAAATAGAAATAGAATAGAGAAATCCTCATGCTAACAAATAGAGAGGGACTTGTAGGAGATGTGAGGTTGCTAAATTATTTTTTTCTGGTTCTGTCAGCATCCTTAGAAATGATTATAAATAGGGAAAGCATTAAATACACACGCACCATGTATTCTCCCGCTTAGTATGGTCTCTTTTTCATGACCCAAACCCATCACTGAAAAATTTATCATCTTCACCATTCTTGAAGTGTTGATAGGTATTTCATATGCACAGCAGCTAGCTAACGTGCACTCAACTGAATGACAAGGCTGGATTTTTGTCAAGTAACACTAGCAATGTCTCATCCAAAGATACTGCAAGTTTGAAGGGAGACAGCCCCAAGACTAAGGTGAGGTTTAAACCTGCAGAGGCCACAAAACTTAACAATCCAAAGATTTAAGCAGTATCATTACACATGTGTTTGAGATGCATTTGCTTGAGGTCTGACTTCCATATGCTCTAGGCCTTTACCAATACAGCTGAAATGAACAGAAGCTATCACTGCCCACTGTCTTTGCCTGGTACAACAGACTGTTGCATGTAGAGTAAACATATGCTCAAGGCAGTGTAATCTGAAGAAGTTTTTGGATTGGTTAAGGTCTTCTGCAATTCCATACAGACGTTTTTAATCCCAGTAGTCAGAACTAGAACTCTAGATTTGCTTGTTGAATAAAATATTTATTTGTTGTGATAAAGCCAAGTTAGCGAAGTATGTCAGGGATTCATGACACTGACTACCTTTATTTTCTCATTTTCTAAACGTCATGCTATGGTTGGTGAATTAACAGTATATTCAGATTGAAATGTTTCTGTAGACCTTTTTGGATACATGTGCAGGACAAACTTCTTTCTTTGCAAATGCTTACAAGTACCAGAAATTTAAGAGATTGATGGAAACCCATGTAGAGTTATGATTAAGAATAAATCTGAAACATAGTACTGTGATTTAATTGTTGTTTTGCCTCCTTTTAATTTCTAATAGGTATTAGAGGGAAAACCCATCTATGTTGATTGCTTTGGCAATTTGGTGCCACTAACAAAGAGTGGCCAACATCATATATTCAGCTTTTTTGCCTTCAAAGAAAACAGACTTCCTCTCTTTGTAAAGGTAATGTTTTATCCTGAATTATGGATTATTACTTTATTTTTGCCTGCTTCACAGTTTTCAATAATCAGGCTAAAAACAGTCCCATTTTTTTTCCTTATAAAAATAGCTGATTTTGGCATGAGCAATCAGAAATAACAGATAGCTGACTAAAAGCAACCTGAAGGGCATGGAATGGAAATGGCCATCTGAAGCATAGTTAAAATTTGATCTAAATATATTTATCTCTGTCTGTATCCCTCTCTGCACATATATCCACAGGATTCTTTTAGTTTTAAGCATTTCAGATACCAAAAGTGGTCCCTTGGGGAATCCTCTTTTTTTTAATGGCACTGTAAACCCCACCTGTCCCATGTCTCCTGGGCACCTGGCATTCGTGGGCAGCAGCTGAGCGCCCAGAGCTGGTCTCGCTGAGTGAGGGCTGCAGCAGCAGCAGAGAGTGCTGCAGGGATCGGGCCACCATCCCCTTCTGTTTCCAAGAGAGGGTTTCAGAGGGTTTTGTTTACAACCTCCCACAAACTTTGCTTCTCTCCTATTTCAGGACATGGTGTTAGAACCAAGTACTGCCCCTTCCTGCACCAAGTAAAAGACATGTAGAGGAGTAGGATTTTAAAATTCTAATTTCATTTATTAATGGCAGCTCATTTTCTTATATTTGCTCAATGCTGCTAGGCATCTTTGAAACCCTTCTCTTTCCTAGCAGTATCTGGTTTTAGAGTAGACTTGTTTTAATTCAGAACTTGATCCCCACTACCTATTTCTGGCTTTGCATATAGTACTTGAGACTGATAAAGATAATATACACGTATTTAACTGTATCATTTTATCAGTTTAGGAAGCTAAGAAATTTATCCTGTGACATTGCACTTAATTCTCACATTATGTACAAAAGTTGCAATTACATCAGGAGCATCCCAAGTGCTTATACACTTCTGGGGCTAACAAATTGAGATATTTTGAGATATTGAGATATATTGAGATATTTTTAAGATTTGTTGCAAAATTTTACAGTATAACGCGCTGAAATATTATTCTTAGATTGTAGTGGTCACACCTACAACTATATTCCAGCAGAATATAAATCCTGGGAAAGGATTTATAAACACAATTGAGAAAACCTTTTGCAAAAAAAAAAAAAACACCAAGTACAGTCTTTAATACTTTTAGTATTTTTCAGTGTGCCAACATAAAAGCCAAATAAACCACCATGGTATTTTTCCACTTGAACCATGAAGTTTTTCCTAAAATTAACATGAATATGCATTCTTGCTATATGGGAGGAAATTGGCTTACCTTATTTCGTAACTTAGTAGATAATGAGACTGTCATCACAAAGTTTTGAGACCTTCTATGGAAAAAAGGGTAACTTATCATGAAAGCCTCATAACCCTGTAACTTTTGTATTCTTTAAGATAACAGCATTACCAATGACTTGTGAAAATAAGAAGTTTTTGGCATGTAGATATGTATGTGCTTGTGTTTCTTCTTACTTTGACACACAATTATATTCATAGTGCCTTTATAAACAAGCAGGAGAAAAACCTGAACAAAACACATCATTTATGACTATTTGGACTGTCTTTTCCCCCAAATCTAACCTCTTTTTGTTGAGCAATTTTGAATAGCACAAGTTGATGACACCATAGCAAAACAGTGGATTAGATGCCTGTATGTCTGCTCTGCTAGGTACGAGATACCACTCAAGAACCCTGTGGAAGATTATCATTCATGAAGGAGCCAAAATCAACAAGAGGCCTTGTTCATCAAGCCATATGTAATTTAAACATCACTTTACCTGTTTACACGAAGGTACCGTGAAATTATACTGACATTTTCAAAGCTTGCTTTTATGTACAACAATCAGCACGATAACATAACAACTAAGTAAGTAAGTGCAACAGATGGTTAAGATGTTTTGAACAAGATGAAATACTATCCAAGAGCTTTTAATTTCTTGTACTTGATCCTGCTAACATCAGTGTAATGTCAAATGCACCAAGCATTCTGAGAACTCAAAAGAGATGACAGATCCAGCATGAGTAGATGAAAATTCAGTTTGTACTATGGAGCACCAATAGTTTTGTTTGATGTTGTGCAAGACTTACGCTAATCTTGGCGGATATAGAAATTTTACCCCAGTTCTGTTCAAGGATGAAAGACATTTGGGACTCAGTGTGCACCTCTAGGTTGCACTCTGGGTTTTGCCAAAGGCTTCCTAAATGCCTTAAACATGTTGTGAGTCTTGGCGGGAGAGGCAAGACAAACATCTGTACCTCATCAGATTTTTATTAAGATATTTACATTAAGACATGAAGTATAGAAAGACGTTATGCTACCATAAAGGATTAGATAGTTAATGGGCTTCGCAATAGCATTTTCAGCTGACTAGCAGACATGCTTATTTTTAACAGTTCGCTTATTTTTGTTAGTGACAAAAAACACAACAAAGGCAAGCTCTATAAGTTGGAAAGGGAATATCAGTGCCAAAAATATTTCCTTACTTTGGATTTTAATATTATGTTGACTTTTGACAATGATTCTTCTTTCTACAGCTGATGAAATTTTTCAAGGATCTGTGAAAATGTCACACACTGTAAATGCTTTTGTTTTGGAATATCATCATTAAGTTTATTAATCTGGTGAGAAAATGAGGGCAGGAAAGTCTGACAAAAGGTCTAGTATGAGTTAATACTTAAAAATAACAAGCTTGAGACCATTTAGGCTCTCATAAATCAATGGTTTCTGTTGGGGTTACATCAGATACTAAAAAATACTTGCTTCCATGCTAAAAGTCAGTTTATTTGCATTCTGTAATAAAGAGGATTTTATCCTGTCCTTGACAGTTTAGAGTTGCATGCCTTATAGTAGTGTATGGGGCTGTTCAACAAAAATGTTGTCAGTTGTGAATTTTGAATGCAATGGGCAGAAAATTCTGATTGTGTTGTGACATTCTCATATGTTTATAATAAACACACTTCAAATGAACAAGTTTTGCAACTATTTTGAAAATGTATTATGGATGATTTCGAGAAAAATAATGCACGTGCTTGTTTTAAGTTTTAGTACAAATAAGGGTCACTAGAAGTCTAACACCCAGGAGCAACTCCTCTGTTTGTAATTTGCTCGATTCTGCTGCCTATTGTGTTTCACGCTGACAATTTAAAGTTTTGTCGCTTTCGACATGAAATCAATTGCAAAACCTGTATATACTGCATACTATTTTCTGCTAAATGTTCTGCATTTTGCTTGCTCTGTTTCCCCCCCTTCCCCCCTCTTTTTGCATGCCATTTTGGAACTGAAAGGACTCAGAATCAGATCAAGAACAGGAAGAAGAGGTAATTTTGCTATAACAATGTGTTATTGCTTATGCATACCATGCAAAAACAGCTACAATATACACCTTGAAAGGTTAAATCTGTAGTAGAAGAGGAATGTTCATGATTAGCTCAGTGCTACAAAAAGCAATCAGGCAGAGTACAATTAAAAGCATCATCTTGCAGAGGCCCATTTTGGAATTGACTAGTTTTAACTTTCCTTAAGTTAAATTTGAACTGATCCAGGTGCATTGATCTTGGATATGTATAATAGTATATTTTGTTTTCAAAAACAATTTTTGAATAACTTCTTAAAAATTATTCTGCTCAAGAATAACCCATGCTAGTGCATTTGTCTTGGAGGGGGGAAAAAAAAAATCTCAGCCTCTCTCAAGCATTCTGGGCCAGTGGCTCACTGGCATAGTGCGTACTGTGTTACTGTGTCTCAGCCCAGCCTGAATGGTCTTCCCCCCCAGGAGCAGGATGGAAGCAGAGGACCAGACCTCACTGTAACAATTGCACCCAATAGCCAGTTCCCCAATGTGGTGAGGAAGCGGCAACCAAAAATGTCTGCTCCTATTTCAGTGTGCAAAGATTTTTCAGCACGTAGTTACCATCGTGTGAAAACATGTTCAGTGTTTTTAATATATGCAAGCAGGACCTGGCCTTTCATGGAAAAATGTTACAAGCTGTGGATCTGGAAAGCACAAAAAAAAAAAAAAAAAAAGTATCCATCTGCTGTCAGATGACAGTTCCCATTAGAAGCATTAAGATGATAAGATTTCTCATCAGGTGCTCAGCTTCACATTGAAAGCACAAAACTAATTCTTTCAGCCTGTGTAATGCTTGTTTCTGTATTTCTAGCCACGTCTGCCAAAGTTGCTTTTAACAATACTGCTTTACATGAGCAAAGATTGTAAAATTTTTTTTTTTTTTCCCAAACAGTTGCCAATTCTTACATTTTTATATAACATAAAAAAATTGAGCATGTTGGTGTGCAAAGACACGCACACCAGTGGCGATGCTGCACCTTGTGTCTCCCACTGCTTCCTCCTTGGGAGATCTTCAAACACGGCCTGGATGCCACCCCGTGCCACGTGCTCTAGGTGCCCCTGCTGGAGCAGGGAGGTTGGACTAGGTGATCTCTAAGGTCCCTTCCATCCTCAACCAACCTGTGATGAGGAGAAATAAACCCACAACAATGCAACAACAATCCCAGTAATGCAATAACCTGTGGTTAGCGATACAACATTTTGCATCTGCTATTGATTATAACTGCAGCAAAGTAACCACTTTTCCCTTATTACATATGCTAATACATGTTTTTCACTTTATATTAATGGCTGTCTGTATCTTAATGTGGCTATTGCATCATCTTCAATTTTTTTTTTCTCTTCCAGGTTGATATGACTTCAGAAAAAAGTAAGATTTCTTCTGAAAATGTTATAATGCAGTTTGTATGAAAGCTGGTTTAAGTATAAAGATAAGCATGTAAGAGAACTAAGCTTTAACAGCATTAATATTATAAAAACTGTAATAGAAAGACTGTAATACCAAAGCAACTATCCAGCTAAATATATTTTAATGTATAAATTAACAAGTAATGCATTCACTTTCCTTAGACATTCCTAGTGATCCTGCTATTGCTACTTTGCTTGTATGACTACTCATCCTTCCATATTTTGTTTTGTCCATATGTTGACACTCATTGTTGCCTTATATTTGAGATAAAGGACAGACAGTATCATTTTTTTAATGAAAGCAAAATTAATTTTGCATTTTATTCCTTTAAACTGATTAAATACAAGCATGCAAAAAAGTGATACTGTCCAAAGTAATCAGGCTGGCTGTTGAATTCCCTTCCCCTGTTGGCCTTGCTCCTTACTGTGGTGAACTATGACTGAAGTATGACTGGATGTTAAGCTTGGTGTAGTCACTGTATACACAGAATCAGGCAATTATGTGGTTCACAGTGCCAAAGATGACCCTAATAAAGATACATATCAAGTATCTGGTCAATTAATGGTGTTACAGCATCTCTAATAAGAGAGGTTTTCAATTTTATTTTTTTTTAAAGAAAACAATGACTTATGTCTTATTTTAAAAAGCAAGTAAAGATTTAAAAAGCAAGTTTCTTGTTTCTCTACTGCATTTAATTTTGAGTTTGTTCATTCCTAATGTACTACTTACCCGTTATAAGGGGAGGGGAAAGAGAAAAATACTAAGCTCCATTGGATTTGCCATTGCAGTGTAACCTTCTTTGCCTAAAGTAAAAAAGGCTTTAATCAAAAAGAATGAGAGAGAGGCGTTGATAAGTAGGTAATAGGTTAGCGGGGATGAATATTCACCATCAGTAAAGATAGTACCGCGTTTGTGAATAAAGAAGATTAAATCACATTTTTTTAAACTGTAATTCACTTTTATAGCAGGATGACCAGCTCCATCAAGACAAAAAAGCAACACCAGTGTCCAGCCCTGCTCCATCGCAGCTTGGTCATGGTGTGCAGCTGTCACTGTTAGAGGCCGGTCTCTGTGTGGCAGAGGACTGAGCTGGAACTGCTGCTTGTGCTTACACTAGAGGAGTGAACACACAAATCAAAAGCAATTTAGTTTTGCAGCTTCTTTTTTTTAAGTTTAGTGGAAAATTAATTAGTGGCAGCTACAACAGGTACTGCAGAAGAGTGAAAAATGTTGTTCCTGAGAACAACTAAAACTGTAACTACCTTACCCGAAAGAAACCCAACTACTGTGTGCTTAAAGATCATGGATGAGGGCTCATATCCTGATAACCCCTATCCTAGAAAACATAATTACAGCCACAAACTAACTCTCCAGGACTACCCCCAATTGTCTCCTTCAGGGTAACTTACTCATAATTTTGAAGGGACACTGCACTGCATAACTTCTGTCCCAGTTGTACTCATCAGCTGTGATGAAGATCCATATGTATGTCTCTGCTTGGGGAATAATTCCTTATAGATGGGGAAGTGGTTTTATGAGCTGACCAAGACAAGCTGGCCCTTAATTCAAGACATGTGCACTTACCCTAAGAGCCACCTCAGGGCTGGCCTGCTGGAGGCCGAGTGCAGGAGGAGAGCACTCCCTCAGGAGAGGCAGCCAAGGGCAGAGAGGCGCAGGGCCACGGCAGTCACGGGCGAGGGGCTACCTCCCTCGCACAGCTTGGGCTGCGGGCATAAGCAGCAAGAAAGAAAATCAGGCAGGGAGAGAGCAGCACAACCCCCGCAGTGTGTAGGGGAGGGATGAACAAAGTTTAAGAAGTAAACCTCACCTATATATAACTCCTGACTCCACAGAAATGGCTATGTAAGTATAATTGTACACCCCTTAAAAAAATGCTTTCCGAGATTATAGGTATACGCAGTACAGAATGTACATGAAGTGTATACAGTCCTGCAGGCAAAGATGCATTCATAGTTGGGGATATATATAGTGCCTTCTATATAACATACATATAAAATATACTAGTATAAATCTAAACGTACGCTACAATACAGATGCATTACATTAATTTCTATAATAGTGCACAGATATTATAATACACAGTACATTTGCAAAGTACTTGTTTTGTACTCTGAAATGTGGTATACCTATCTTAAGCATTTTTATTGCAAAGCAGTTGAGAAGTATAAAACATAAATAACAATATAAAAAATAAGATAATGTTAACTGGTTATATTTGAAAAAATAACAAAGTATTAAATATTCTTAAAAGTGCAAATTTAAACAGGATACATATACACATACATACCACATTTAGCAGTATTTTCAGAAGAGGCAGTGGTGGATATACTAAATTCACAAAGAAACTATGTATAAAGATCATGTGTATTAATATTCATAAACAACCATACATATTAATAGCAAAGACAAGTATTCATAAATATTAATATGGATAACAATTAATCATAAATATATTCATAAAAGTATCTATAATGATATATAAAATATTCATATAATATTAGTAAATTACTTTGTGTACATGTGGATATGTGCTTGGCCATAGATACAGCTATAAACAGAGGCCCATGCGAATGGCTGTTTGGAGACAGGCTCCCTCCCTCCCTCCTTCCCTCCCACTTTTCTCCCTCCCTCCCTTCTCTGTTCCCCTCCCACTTTCCTTCTTTTCCTCTTCCCTTCCTCCCTCCTTCCTTTCCTCCTCTCTCTCCCCCTTCTTTCCTTCCTCCCTCCCTCCTTCCTTTCTCCCTCCCCATCCTCCTTCCCTTCCTTCTGCAGTGACCACACACACACTCTCCCATTACCTGAAACCTGTGAGAGAGAGTGTGTGTATATATATATATATATGTATATACACACACACACTTTTTTATAGGTTTTACTTTCTTAAATGCATGGCTGCTTATTCTTTATACATATATATATATTAAAAAAAAAAAAAACCCACCAAGCTTACACATCCAGCATAACTTTCTGCACATTTGCTTTGCATGGAAATAACTTGCCTTACATTACTTGGATGGATGTGTCCTGTGTGAATGTCTCTCGAGTTTCGGTTGCAGTACATTACCATTTTTTGTTTACAGACATTTCTAAGTTGTGCACAGCTTTCCCTTACTGCCTGTACTTATCTTCTTCATCTTCTGTTTTCCTCAGTCAGTTTATTATGTGTCCATGAGGATGTTCCAAGGAAAGGACCATGCCTCTTAGTCCAACAGAGTGTTTGTTTAGGTGTGAAATCCCCTTAGATGAAATGCCGGTTTGCAGCTGATTCAGATCTCTTCCTATTGGATCTCATTTCAGAACATAGCAGAATTGCACCTTCCCCTACTTTGGTTTTTTAAGAAACAAAACACAGTGCTACTCTGACAGTTTGCTAACACTGGCTTTCTCTTAGAGGAAATCAACTTTGTATCGCTTCTCCCACCCCTTTTCTTGTTTATTTTTATTTAAACATGATGTGTAACATCTGAACAATCTTGAGATGCTTATCTTTGTGTAACTTCACTATGTTTCTTCTGTTTTATTTTATTTTTTGTTTGTTTTTGAGTGGTGTCCTGGTTTGTTACAGCTCTGATAATGTATGTGTGATTGTGCTTTATTGATAAATTTGAGCAAGTTATTTCCTGCCATTTTCATTTTCAGTTCCCGCCCCAGTTAGCTTTGCTTTGCTCGTACCTCGGATTTTGTGGATCCACCATTCCTGGCCCATTTTGTTGCCCTTCCCACCACTGCAACCACCGACTCTCATGTTCAGTCCTGATTACATTTTTCCAATCTCTATTTTTGATTTCCATTTTACTTTCAATGTTTTTCATTCGCATCAAAGATGACGAGACTGAATCTACAGAAACATCTATCCTGAAAAGCCACCTCGTTAATGAAGTCCCTGTCCTAGCCAGTCCTGACCTGTTATCTGAAGTTTCTGAGATGAAACAGGATTTGATCAAAATGACTGCCATCTTGACAACTGACCCAGCTGATAAATCAGGCTCCATTAAGGTGAAAGATCTTGCCAAAGCTTCTGAGGAAGAGCCAGGAGAACCTTTTGAAATAGTTGAAAGGGTGAAAGAAGACTTAGAAAAAGTAAATGAAATCCTGAGAGGTGGTTCCTATAACAGAGAAGAAGAAGTTTTACATACATCCTGCCACATGAGGCAGGAAGCAGTAGAAGAAGATTGGGTTATTGTTAGTGATGAAGAAATCCAAGAGGCCAGAAGAAATGCTCCTTTAGAGGTCACTGAACCTCCCTGCGTCGAGGTCCGGATCAGCAAAGGGACAACAGAAACAAAGACAGACATAACTGGTGCGGTAGATTACCTTACCCAGGATTTGGAAACCTACGTGTCTCTTCATGCTGTACAGCCGCCAGCCTTACAAGAAGACCTCGTAGAAGAGAAATTTGAAGCTGTAGTAGTAAGCAGGGATTCTGAAAAAGAAGGGCAAGAATCTTCCCAAACTGAAATGCTAAGTCCCCAAGAACAACAGAAACCTGTCTTAGAAATTAAAAAGCCAGTTAGGAAGAAAGTAAAAGATAAGCAAAAGCAGAAGGAAGGCAAGGTACCCAGCCATGAAGAAGTGCCAGGACTAACAAAGTTCAGCTCAGATGAGTCTCTCAATGAGGAACCCGGCTTAACACCAGCAGCTGCTCCTGAGGTTACTGCTGTATCCCCAGTCATAGAGGAAACACCAATTGGCTCAATAAAAGATAAAGTTAAAGCCCTTCAGAAAAGAGTGGAAGACGAACAAAAAACACGTTCAAAGCTACCTGTCCGCATTCAAACCAAAGAAGGCACAGCTGACAAGACTTCTAGGAGACCAGGACCAGTTAAAAAACCAGTTGTGCACAAAGCACAACCACCTGTTTCACCTTCTGCTAAAACAGAAAGACTTGAAGAGACCATGTCAGTTCGTGAATTGATGAAAGCCTTCCAATCAGGACAAGATCCATCCAAGAATGTGTCAGGACTGTTTGAGCACAAATCTGTCAAACAAAAGCAACAGCTCTCTGAAAAGGAACCAACACGGAGAAAAACACTTTCCTCACAGGGTGAAACCAAGCGAGTATTAAGCCACAAGACAGATAAACAGAAACAGAGTGCAACACTAAAAGCTGAGAAAGAACCACAATCAAAAAAAGGAAAGATGCAAATTTCTACTACTAACATTGACAAGCGACCCGTAAGTAAAGAGCGGGTGAAAGAGCAGAGCTATAAAACCAAACCTGCTCCACCCGTATTTGAGGATGAAAGTTGCAAAGATACAGAGCTTATGAAGGGCAAGGTTTCTGATGACCAGGCAGATACTGACTTCCAGATCAGTCCTGACAGAAAAACCTCCACAGACTTTTCTGATGTCATTAAAGAAGAGCTTGAGGATAATGACAAATATCAACAGCTCCGACACCTTTCAGTCACTGAGGAAGGAGAGCTTCACTTAGAGCAAGTACTGACCAGCCCATTCAATGTTGCTTTCCCAACAGAGTATGTGAAGGATGGATTCCTTCCTGCTCTTTCTCTGCAAAGTGCTGCTTTTGAGGGGAGCTCAGAGAGCCTTAAACATGAAGGTGTTGCAGATTCTCCAGGGAGCCTGCTTGATGGAACCCCTCAGATCAGCTCGGAGGAAAGTTATAAGCATGAGGGTCTGGCAGAGACTCCAGAAACGAGCCCTGAAAGCCTCTCCTTCTCACCAAAGACAACTGATGGGCAAATTCAAGAAGCTAAGGGAGCCACTAGAGCGCACACAACAGGAGAAACAAGTTCTCTGAAGGAACTCTCTCCTAAGGAAGATGAAAAAGGTATTACTGAACAACAGCTACATGCTGTTACTGAGACTAAGTCTCCTTCTGACCATGTATCAGAAGAGCTTGTGTCTACAGCCTCTGAAGAAGAGGCTGATAAACTTAAAGAAAGTAGCTCAGCTTCCATTATGAAAGATTTTAGCAGGGATAAAGAATCCAAAACCACTGCACATTTAACTAAGTCTTCAGAAACACTTGACACTGCATTAGAGAAAGAAAAAGATATAACCTGTGAACGTCGTGTTGTTGTTAGAAGTCCCCAAAAATTGGAACTTTCACTTGCTAGCCATGATAGTGAAAGCTTTAGCCCAGTTGCAGATGACTCGTACGCTGTAAGTCATAAGGACTCACTGGAAGCAAGCCCCGTGCTAGAAGATAACTCTTCACACAAAACGCCTGATTCTTTGGAGCCCAGTCCAATGAAAGAGTCTCCCTGCCGTGATTCTCTTGAAAGTAGCCCCGTAGAACAAAAAGTGAAAGCTGATATTTTGGGGCAGGGTCCTCTTCAGTCTGTTCTTAGCAAAGCAGAAACCTGCCCAGAACTGGCATTGGTTCGTTCCCGGATTCTCCGTGATCCCGAGGGAAGTGCTGATGATGACAGTCTAGAGCAAACATCCCTCATGGAGAGTTCAGGGAAAAGTCCTCTTTCACCTGAAACGCCTAGTTCTGAAGAAATTAGCTATGAAATCACACCTAAAACAGCAGATTCACAAGCACTGGCAAACATACCAAAGTCAGCTGTGATCCCTGAAGTCAGTGAAGAACTGGACGATGATCCAGAAAGTGAGCCAAAGAAAAGATTCACCCCAGAAGAGGAGATGTTTAAAATGGTGACCAAAATCAAAATGTTTGATGAACTAGAACAAGAAGCAAAGCAGAAAAGAGATTACAAAAAGGATTGTAAGACAGATGAAGCTTCTTCTGCAGGTGCTGATTCAGAAGCTGTGTGTGAAGCTGAAGAATCAGAGTCAACAGTTGTAGGAGAGAAAACACCACCCACAGTAGTGATGTCTGCAGCTGAATCTAGAAAAAGTTCCTCCTCTTCAGCCAGTGAGCCAGAATTGACTCAGCTAAAAAAAGCAGCTGACTCAGGCCTCTTAATGGAGCCTGTGATCCGAGTGCAACCTCCTTCACCATTACCATCCAGTACCGATTCCAGATCTAGCCCTGAAGAAGCAGGTTCTCAACCCATTGATTCAAAACCATGTCCTTTGAGGATAGGGGAGGTTCAAGCAAAACAAGATAAGCCAGTAGAAGAATCAGGCACTTGTCACTCCAATGGCTGTATATCAGCAGGTGCTGATGAATCAAAGTGTCACAGTACAGCTGAGAGAGAAACAGTTAGTACTGATACCCCAGTCACACAGTTTGAGGGAACTTTGAGTCATTCCATTGGTGACAGTTGTCAAAAAGATGTTCGTGGTGAGTCTTCACTAACACTACAGCAATCTGATACTCCCGAAAAAGATGTTAACACCACCAGATTGTTAAAGCACTCAGACATCCCGGATACAGGGTCTGTATCAGAGGAAGTAGATGACTGTTCTTGTGGACTCAGTCCTGCTGAGTACTCTATGCCACAAGATAGCAAACTGACTGAAGATGATGCCACTGACCCTTCTGCTTTGGGAAGCAATTTGGGAAAAGCAGATACAGGTTTTGAAACATCTCAGAGAGATACTCATATTGAGGAGTCCTTATCAGAGCATTCATCCCTTGCCACAAAGACATTGGAACATGAAAGTTGTGCAGGAGATGCTGCTCTAAGTAGTGCTTCTCATTTAGTGAGCCCTTATGACAACGTCTCTTCCGAACACTTTTTTACTGCCTCTGAAAATCAGATAGGGTGTGACAGAACTCTGCTCTCCAGGGAAGACTGTCCTGCTGGAGGAGAAAGAGATCACACCGTGCTCAGCAGAGGCACAGGCAGTGAAAGTCAATCTTCAGGGGAAGTATGTATGGAAATAGAGGCAAAACAAGAGGATGTATTTCAGCAAACATCACTAGGGTCTTTAGCATCAGATTCCACAAAATTATCCAAATCCTCCCATGATGATTTAAGAACCGAAACAGAGAATTTGATTAGTCAGGTTGTCATCACCAAAACCGATGTGGACTCTGACACGTGGAGTGAAATACGTGAAGATGACGAAGCTTTTGAGGCTCGGGTCAAAGAGGAAGAACAAAAGATATTTGGATTGATGGTAGACAGGCGATCGCAAGGCACAACGCCTGACACCACACCGGCAAGAACACCCACAGAAGAAGGGACACCCATTAGCGAACAAAATCCTTTTCTTTTCCAGGAAGGAAAGCTGTTTGAAATGACTCGAAGTGGAGCCATTGACATGACCAAAAGAAACTATTCAGATGAAAGTTTTCACTTCTTCCAAATGGGGCAGGAGCCTCAGGAAGAAGTTTCCTTAGCTGAAGAAATGAAGGAAGCAGCAGAAGTGGAATCTAAGCTGGAGAGTTCTCCAGATCCATTTTCACCTGCAGAATTAGAGGACTCAGATGTACCAGAAAAAGATACACTGGAGCATTCACCCCTAGCAGCTGAGTCTAGTGATAAGTCAGAAGAAATCCCTAGTGTAGGTGTCAGCATAGGCACCACAAAAGCAGAGCTTAAATCCAGAATTCCAATTAAAATGGGTATTTCAGCTTCTTCAAAATCACCCCAAAAAGGGACTGCTGCCTCTGAAGCTGAGCCCCTCTCCAGTACGGAGACTGATAATCTTGATAGCAGTCAGGTGCCTTGCCCTTCCTCTCCTGAGCAGTCTGTAGTGGAAGATGAGCTAGATTTTTCCAAAGTCACTAGATTTGTTCTTTCTGAACAGAATGATGAGTCCCCTGACTCTTCACCAGAGGAAGAGAGATCCGTGATTGAAATCCCTACTGCTCTTATGGAGAGAGTGCCTTCTTGCGAAAGCAAATCCAAAATTCCTGTACGAACAGCCATGGTATCACAGTCACTGCAACAATCAGAAACCGAGAGCCTCGCCACAGATGGCTTCCTAGATGGTCTGCAGTGTGAAGCAAAGGATGACCAAGCGAAACCAAAGTCTAAAATTCCAGTCAAAACAGCTTCCCAAAGAGCTGAACAGCAGTATATACACACAGACCCATCTGTCCGCAAGCTAGAGTCACCCAAAGCTCTTGACATGACTAACAAACTACCTATGAAACAGGATAACCGAAGTAAATCAGAGTCTGATGCAAGTATTCCCATGGACCCAAAGACTAAGCGTTCAATAAAAGCTAGGAGTTATGCAGAGGCAGAAGCAGAGACCAGGGAGAGAGAGAGAGAGATGAAGCTTGAGCTAGACTCAGATGAGGCAACAGCAAGACCAAAGGTATTTCCATCACGGTTGCCAGTTAAAAGCAGGGGCGCTACAGCTTCCCGCAGCACTTCTAGTCCCACAAAAGACAGTAAGGAACATTTTTTTGACCTTTACAAAAACTCCATAGAATTCTTTGAAGAAATTAGTGATGAAGCTACTAAGTTAGTGGAAAGACTCACGCAGTCAGAGAGAGAGCAAGAATTAGTCTCAGATGATGAAAGCAGTAGCGCCCTAGAAGTTTCAGTTATTGAAAATATGCCATCCAGTGAGACTCAGCAGTCAGTTCCTGAAGACATCTTTGACACCAGACCCATTTGGGATGAGTCTGTAGAGACTCAGATTGAACGTATCCCTGATGAAAATGTCCATGACCGTGCTGAAGGTATTTGCCAACGACTGAGATTCCCTGTGCGACGCATGTCATGAATTAAAATGTTTTGTTTTTAGTTTGGGGTGTGTGTGTACGCGCGCGTGTGTACATCTGTATATCCATGTGTAATGTTTGTGTAATTTTCTTTAAACTTTTTGTGGTTGGTTGTGTTTCCCCTCCCTTTTGCTGTGAACTGTTTTGTTTTGTGTCTGTATTTTTCTTGTCTGTGAAACAATCTCAAGATTGCAAACCATGGATGCTCATGGGAAGTGTTAGCTTAATAAACAAAAAACACTTCTAATAGTACGCGTTATTTTATCATGTAATTGATCCTTCAGGCCATGCACATTTTGACTTTTGGTTTTCCCTGGCCCTACTAAGTAATTACTAATAGGTAATTCTTACCTATTAGTTTTTACTAATAAATAGGTATTTTGGCATTGATTGGAACAGGCAAATCAATTTGCTTTTGAGCTTTCATACAAAGAAATTACAGAAATTTTAAACATTTGAATTCTTCTAGCTCCTTTTTTTGCCATCTACTTCTCAAGAAAATTCTTTACCACCCATAACTTAACATACTGCAAGCTGTTTGGTGTTTTGATTGGTTTTCTCCTGCTTGTATACTGCTACTGAATAGCAATCACAGAAATCTACCTAGCTATTACAAAGCATGGCTATACCACTAAATCAACTTCTAAGAATTTTATTTATTTATTGCAACCAGGGAAAATGCATTCAGGGAAAAAAATCAAAGCTCAAAATCTGCTCTTCTCAAAGTAGCTCTAGCAATGGGAGGAACAGTCAGTCTCACCATTAAATTAAATGAAGACTGGTAAATGACCATCTGATTTTCCTTGCCTTCGTTGTACGGATTTTGTATCATTCATCACTTGAAAGATTCAAAGACATTTAAAATAATTAAGTCTGAAATATAAACCATTATATCAAATGCCTTATGGAGTGTTTAAACAAAACTTTGCATCCTATAGAAAGGATGCAACTAGAAGAACCATCCAAAATGATTTTCTTTTAATCCTAGCTTTGGCTAAGGAGGCATGGAAAATTATGGCTCTTAACTTGGTGAAAGTCTTCAGCTTAATGTTATAGTGAAGCTTTAGAATAAAATTCATGGCCCAAGTGGGCACAGTAGGCACTTGGATCTTTGTGTAGATGATTACATGAAGGCCTGATTTTCAAATGGAAAGAGAACAGAGTAGATTTTTTTTTTTTTTTGGGGGGGGGGGGACAGAAATCAAGGGGGGTTTTGTTGTTTTTTTGTTTGTTTGTTTTGAACCTGAAGATCAATCTGCAAACTTCCCTTTTGATACCCAGTTATAATAGCTTGTCCACACAAGGTTAACTTTAGTAGTTAGAAAAAGAGCATTTTCCTTTTGTGGGCCTTGTCACCTTTGTAATTTGCTTTCAACTTGTGGCTGTTCTCTTTGACCTTTAGATCAACAAGATGATCAGGAAAGGACAGAGGAAAGACTGGCCCACATTGCTGATCATCTTGGATTCAGCTGGACAGGTACAATGCATGTCATCTACTCTAGAATGAAACATGAGTGACCATTCTTTGATGTGTTTGTGTTGTTTTCAAGATAACTTTATTATTATCTAAGGAAGATACCTAGAAATATTTTAGTAGCTTATAGGAACTAGATTGTCTTCAGGCTACTAAGGTGTCTCTAGGCTGTTAAGTCAGAGCAGGAGAAGATTGCACACCTGCTGTGTCATCACCAGAGGGAAAAGTACTAGGAGGAGAGCAACAAAGAGGACAGGTTATCTACTCCTCCCTTCAAAATGCAACAGCTGTCAGCTCTGCTCTGGAAACCCTGATCTGAAAGACCACAACAGGGATAGATGCAATTGACTCCTTTTCAGAACTCTGTGGTGGCAAAAGGGATGAAGAGGGCCATATTTGTAGTAATCACACTAATATTGCAGAGTAGATACATCCAAGGCAGTGAGCATTACTGAGGACAAACCAAAGAGACACAGAATGAAACGTTTATCAAGACATACTGTGCAAAAACAGCATACTTGCATACAGCCAAGATACACATATGAAAGCAGCCAAAAGGTGTTCACAAAGAAAATGAGCTGTGCAGAAATCTTGTCACTGCATTAAACTCTCCAATCCAACAACAAAAATAGTCATAAAAAGGTCATAACGCAGCTCTGCACCTTTTTATATTCAGTACACTATTTCTGGAGTATTTTTCCTGATGACGTATACCGCATAACCTAAGCCTTCTTGAAATATGTCTTTAACAGTTTACCTATGGATTTAGGGAACAGTCTTCCAACTATTTTAAAATCACAGTCCTCATGGAGGGGAGGGGGAGAGTGGAGAAAATCGAATCTTATTTTGTAGACCTATAGCCAGTAGGAGACTCCTGAAAATAAGCAGGAGTAAAGGAGTTGTATACTTGACAAAAACGTAAAATCCCCGAAAATGAGGACTGTATTCTGTGCTATTTTATAAGTACCTTCAGTGTATATGCAAAATATCATTGACATTTTTATTTATGTTACTCACCCCTTTCTTTTCCCTCCTCTAATTCCATAGGGAGGACTGGAAGCATATGTCACTCATTCCAGCATTAATTCTTTAGAAATCCGTAGGACTTGGACCTATATAAATAACAGATAACAATTAGAGCTGGCAAAAGGCAGAATCCCTTGATGGATGGGTGTGGGTAGGTGGTGTGGATGTGTAAGAAGTTCTGAAAAATCAAACCAGAAAACCCAGATGTTCATCAAAATAGACATTACCCACATAATGTTTCTAGTATTGTAGGGACAGCACAGAGCAATAAATATCTGCATAAATATACCCATCTTATATAAACATCAGCATGTCCAATTTTGATTTGGGATTTTGTATCTGCTCATGTATTATTTCCGCTATGGCTTTCTATCTAGCAACTTGTTTCTGCTAAATTTTGTCTTTTCCAGCTATAGCAAAATTCTCTGTAGCATGTTGTTTAACAGTGTTTCCAAATAAAATACAAGATGCGTATGAGCAAAGAAAACTTGGTTTCAGAAAAAGCTTGGTTTCTCCTTTGCTGTTGCCAACCATTAGAGTAGCTGTAAGGAAAACAAAACAAATCCTAACAGAAATGGAACTCTTTTTCAGAGTTAGCAAGAGAGTTGGATTTCACAGAAGAGCAAATTCACCAGATCCGAATAGAAAATCCTAATTCACTTCAGGACCAGAGCCACGCTCTCCTGAAATACTGGCTTGAAAGGGATGGGAAACATGCAACAGGTTTGTTTCTAGTAATAGTACGTCTGCAGTGCCACCAACTTACCAGCTGAGGTGACAGCTGTGGGCTGCAACCACAAAAAGGAAGCATGGGTAAAATTTAGGCAACAGATAGAATGATCATAGATATGCTTAATTTTTTTAAGCTTGTGTATATAAGATGGCATACCATAAAATTCTGCATTCTAGAGCAATTGTTTAGGCTTGCTCATTTGAAGGACTTTACAGCAAAGTAAGAGCAGAAAATCTAAGGCCTCATTTTCCTTTATGGGGCGGGGAGGGGCGAGGGAAGGGGGTGTATGGGACAGAAAGAAAGAAAAAGTGTTTGAGGGAATTAAATGAAATTTCTAAAAGGAAGGAGGGGAAAAGGATGGTAATTCTTACATGCCCTGCTTTACACAATTTGCAAATTCACACTGCAATGCTTTTAAATGTGTTTATATTTTATACATGATATTATATTGCTGAGCATCCAATGTATTTCCTTGATGTGGTAAATAGAAGAAAGCAAGCATGTGAAATTCTAAACTCAGGTACACGGTGTCTTTCTAACACCACAGATACAAGTCTTACCCAATGTCTTACAAAAATCAACCGAATGGATATCGTTCATCTCATGGAGACCAGCGGCATGGACTCCATGCAGGTCCACGGCACTCGCACGTACGCGGAGATCGAGCAGACGATAGGCCTGGACCACAGCGAAGGTAAACGCGTCCTCGCGCGGAGCCCCTCCGACCACCAGGCTCTGTTCCCAAGTGTTTGGCTGGGGTAGTCAGGTAACTCATGGGGCTGATTTGAATTCTGAAACACAAATAAGAAGGACCAATGCAAGTGGAACATTGCACAGGTCACCATTTCACCCTAAGATACCCACATCAGTCATTCTTAAAATGCAAATAAAGGAAGTCACTGCAAATACTTCTACACAGTTTATTCTTTCTTGCTGTACAAATGCTTTCCTAATAGTTAACAAGGTTGCATTATGGCTTGATGAAAATTTGTAGGATAATTTCCAAAACCAACAACTATTCAGGGCTTTGGAAAAACTTTGCATGCAAGTATCCATGATACCGTTTGCAATTATGCTACTATGCTGCTGCTAATTCTTAAGTGTAGAAGTTCAGTAGACTACCTCTGTTACTGTAATTTAAAGTAACTCCTCCTAGCTATGTTAAATAGCATCTTATTTATCTTATTTTTACACTCGTTACTGAATATTAAAATAGTAGTAAGATATTAAATGGCAGCAAACTTCCCATCTTTAAAATGATTTAGAAATAGAAGGTCATGTATGGTATAATTAGCATTCTAATAAAATAACTGATTAGTTTAAAACATTAAAGACAATAGCCTGCTCAGATTCAAAACTGTTTTGTGGTTTCACCCAAGCTCTTCTTCCAAGATTAGTATGCTCCCACTGAGCACGGCTAGTAAAGAAAAAGTGGAGAGAGGACGTACTTTTCATTCAAGGATGTTAAACATCAATTGAGAAAGAAGAGGACTGCCTGTGTTTTAGTAAGACTTGCAATGGCACTTCTCATTTCTCTCTTTTTAAAGGGTTTTCTGCATTGCAAGAGGAAGTGTACAGTGCAAGGCATAAGAAAGAAGACCACCAGCTATCTAAGGACAGTGACCCATCTGAACACCCTCCCATCGTCTCTGAGGAGGACGTCTCTGTCAGTTATTCCCCTTTTCAGGGCAGTACTCCCAGGAGTGAAGCAGAGCTATCAATGGCTGAGCTCCTGAGACAAGCACATAAGGAACAAGTACAAGCTGAATTCTCAGGGAAACCCCAAAATGTGTCAGAAAAGCCATCTGCTGCATCACAACAGGAATATTGGTGAGTGTCAAAAGGCCACAACAAAAGCTACATGGAACAGACTATTCCTCCTCTATGTAATTAGATGATTTTTTTAGCTTTTCTCTGAAGCATACGGACTAGCTTTAATTTTCTGGTCCTGCATATTAATTCAGTAGCTACTCTGTGCTTAACTTTTTACTCCATAAGGAGGAGGTCTTAAAAGATTGCAGGAGTGGGTCTGTTCTTCACTGTGAACGTAAAGCAATAACCCAGTCTAGTACGTATTAAAAAAAAAAAAAGATAATGTAGAATTATTTTTGCAAACTGTATTTTCCATGTGTTAGGTAGGAACTAACTAAGTAATGTTAAACTTAGTGGAATTAACACTAGAGGGTCTTTTTCTCAACTTCAGTTGCATTTTGAATTCAGACAAGAATTTTCTAACTTAATGGTTTCTTGCAAAACCCCAAAGTATATATTGGCAAAAACTAGATTTTAAAAAACAATACTAGATGTCAAGGGAAGCATGCTTCTATGCAGACAAGACAAAAGTACTTAAATAAACAGAACATGATAAAATACAGATTTAGAAGACTTGAACAGGATAGCTTTGAATCCTGATTTGGGGCTGATTTCACTTGAGCTGGTATAGGAACCAAGATGACCATGTTTCTTTCTTCCCCTCATCCCTAACCATTGTTCACACTGACAGCTATAAGCCATGTAAATGCAGTTATCTGCAGGCTAACAAAATAGCAAAGATCCACTTCCTACTGTTTTCCTGTTATTACTGGAATAAATACCGTTATTCCAGAGACAAACATTTTTTTCAGACAATACTGTCAAATACTAAAGAATATTAGCCATGACAGGGAAAGTTACTATAAGTCATATCATCTTATATCAAACACAATTAATCCAAGATAGTAAAAATATATACACACCTATACACACCAACAGGAAAAAAGGTTGGATATTAGCATATTAAACATATACTATAAAGAAATCTTTTCTTACTTTGGAACCACAGCTATTCTGGGAACAACAGCTGGGGGAACCTAGCAATTCAAATCAAAGTGCAACTCATACCAAAAAAACACCCACAAACACTCACCTACCCATGCAAGTTATTCTATAACTCTTAATAATTTTAATAATAGGAGTTTAAGTAAAATGTACTATTTATCCCAGTTATTTGTATATAGACAGGAAGATATGAGTGGATCCTAGCCAGATGGCTGTGCAGCAACTCTGAGAGAGTATCAATTATTTGTAGACTTGGCTGAAAGGCATAACACCCTTTATTGGGCACACAGATATTTCATTTGCAGAAATCAAGAACCACCACATCATAGTTACTTTAACTTGAACTAATTCACAGTGTCACAGCTCCGGGAACAGAGCAGACCCCAGCAGCGCTAACCGGAAAGGCAGCTGGAAGTGCAAGCAATGAATCCAAACATGTCAGTGTGGCAGAGCGTGAAACACCATCCCCAGAGCTCCTGTCACCTGCTCAGCGAGGTGACTCTCCCATCGTCCAAGAGCCTGATGACCCCCAGCTACACCAGGATGACCTCTCGCCCAGGAAAACTAGCCTAGTGATAGTGGAGTCAACTGATGAACAGCCAGAAGAGCTTGGAAGCGGTTACAAAGAGGAATCTTTAGAGAAGGTAAATATCAACTTGGTCTCAAAGTAACTGAGGCAAAAGAGCAAGTTTTCTGTCTGGCTCAATCTGTAGAAATGGGAGTAATCATCCTGTTAACTCTGATAAATTCTCTGCAACTAAGCCTTTTCTCCTTCACTTTGTGATTATCAGGGCTAACATTTGAATGAAGGCTTGAAGATCACAAGGCTTAGAATGAAGGCTTAGAAGTGGTCAAAAATCCAGAAAAACAGGAATTTTCCAGAGACACTTTTAGATTAAAAATAACTTAGAACCTGTAAGGACTGCTAGTACCACATACTGCCTCAGTAAACAGAACACTACTTCCCTGCTCCCATTAGGAATTAGCAGAGGAGTTAGGCAAGCTGGACATCAGCTCTGATGAGGAAGAGATGATAACTACCAGGGTCGTTCGCCGTCGGGTGATTATTCAGGTACTGAGTGCTGAACTACTGCATGTGCCAGTGGTGACCGTGTCCTGGTACCACCTGCTGAGCCAGCACTTGGCTGACAGTGCACCCGAGGCTGGAATGCTCCCACATGATGCATGGCCTTTAGACATGCTGTTTCAGTGTCTTTTCTGTCAAGAAGATGATTATAGCAGAACTACTAACCCTGCTCGATAGTCTATGAGATGACTCAATAGGAGGACAAAGACTTTTTAGATCTCTATATGGTCAAATAACACATATTTGCCTGACAGTTCTGGCATACCTTTCCTTGCTTTATACTTCCCTAATACATGCTAATACTTTTCTAAATGTTTATCTACAGAACGTTTTTTCTCCCAATACTTCTTTTTCATTCTTTAACCAATTAACAAATTTTAAAGTTTCCTATTATTCTTATTTAAAGAAACTACTTACATTAAGTCACTGCTTAATTGAAGCTTGTTCTTTGTCATACAGGCTGATAGTATGCCTGAAATGCCACCAGAATCAGTCACAGAAGAGCAATATACAGATGAATATGGCCACACAGTGGTCAAGAAGGTATTGTCAGCTATGCCCCCTGCCGCTTTCCTACTGCCCTATGGAAGGAAGGATAAATAAATCCACATACATGCTTGATATTCTTTTACAAAGAAGCATGATTTTTTTTAAGACCATGAAAAGAAATAGATTTTCAGTTAATCAGATGATTCAGCTAATGTCAAGATTTGAAAATTTATTTTGATTTGCAATACCAGTATTTTTTCAGTTCATAATTTACTATGACATTGTTCGGTGATTTTACCACTTCCTTTTCTCACCTCAGAGCTGTGCAGCAATGCTTTTAATGCCCTTTTAAAAAAAAAAAAAAAAAAGTTCCATCTAGGAACATGACTTTGCTTATAATAATGAAACTTTGCTCATATTAATGAAACTATTGGAGGGCCAGATCCCCAAGAGTTCCCTAAATCCTGATTGTCAGTCACTACTCAATTGTGACTGTACACATTCCTGAATTGGTACATACAGTTCGGGTTTTATGAAGCAGAGAATATAGAAATTAGTTACTTCTCTGATGGCCTCATAAAATAAACATATTCAGATCACGCTTAGGAGGCTAAATTCTGTAGACCATGGAGGTGGATGGAGAGGAAGATACCTCTGCCTCTGACTGTTGGACACACAAGACAAACAGTCTGATTGTCTGATCAGAACAAATAAGTTATTGGACAAAGGGGGAAGTAAATGCTTAATGTTATCTCATCTAAAGACACAGGGTAGCCCTCTTTCTTTGGTCTCACCACACACCAGGTTAGTCTCTTCAGGGGCTTGACCCCAGCAGTGATGGAGCCCATCAGCTCCATCAGTGTCAAGAGCGACGCCCACCAGCATCCATGCCTCTTGGAGAAACTAGTTCTAAGCTCCTGATCACCAAGCTGACAGCCTCATTTTCAAGTCTTTCAATTCAATGATCCTCTTGAAAACATCAGTCTTAAGGTATCCTTTAGCAGTTGCGTGATTGTAAAATATGTTTTCTCTCTAAGGGAATAAACTTCTTTTCCTAATAACTGCGTTTCAAGAGTAGTTCCAATATGTATATGTCTACTTGTGAAATAAATTAATAGGAACTTTGCTGTATAGTACCTTAAGTTGGGCCAACACATCACTGTGCAACTCTGGTATAGGCGTACATGAAAATTTAAAAGGCTAAAAACATTGAAATACCTACATAGCTCCATAGACTGAGGTTTGGAAAAACAAAAAACAAACAAAAAAAAGCTTTTGGAGAAGTTTGTACTATATGGAAAATAAGGATGAGTAATATATTACTATTATTATTTTTTTCCCTCCAAACACACAAAGCTCTATTTCATTCTTTCAGGTCACAAGAAAGATCATTCGGCGATATGTTTCTGCAGATGGCACAGAAAAAGAAGAAGTCATAATGCAAGGAACACCACAACAGTTACCTGTTAAAGTTGAAGAAGGAGATAGTTATTCCAAAGTTGTAAAACGGGTTGTGCTGAAAAGCGACAGTGAACAGTCTGAGGTGAGACCTCCCAATTCCCTTGTAATGGGCAAAGCACCTGAAAGAACAGAGCTTCCTACTGTATTTTTCCAAACTTACGTTGCTGTTATATAATGCCTGTCAAAGTGCAAAATTCCAAGAAATGCTTGGAAGAGGCACTGCATTGCTGATTGAGCTTACTACAGTCCAAACAGTTTAAGTGCATACATAGTAAGTAAATCTCAAGCCATCAACATTATTTTTACTTATATTAAAAATACTTGTATATGGAAAGGCTTAAGAAAAAAATATAGAAAGGAGGAGGAAGGCTGTTTTCACTGAATATTAAAGTCAGAAGACAGACTGAAATTGAATGATTTATGAAAAGTATCAAATTCGTGAAACAAGCAGCTCTGTACCAAGATGACATATATATGAGTGATCAGGGGTCGGATGACAAACATAATATCACAGAATGGTTGAGATTGGAAGGGACCTCTAGAGATCATCTAGTCCAACCTCCCTGGTCAAGTAGCACATGGCACAGGGTGGCATCCAGGCAGGTTTTGAAGTCCTCCAGAGAAGGAGATTCCACAGCCTCTCTGAGCAACCCCTATGGGTTCCATATTATGGAATGCATACACATTTGTGTTCTGCAAAACAATATTTGTATTATGATTATATGATACTTCTGTAAGAGCTCCTTGGTTTTACAAGCATGATTTACATCTCTTAAAGAAGCTCTTAATTAGATGATAGGGGCCAATTGCTGAATATAGTGGTAATGTGCATCAGGACAGGTCACCTGGTTGCTCCGTGCAGCGCTGTGTGGGCTCTGGCAGGTCAGCTGGGCTGGCAGCCGGAGCCCTGCGGCCCTCAGGGACAGGGCAGCTCTGCTGGGGCAGCACGGCCACAGCATCTGCCAGCTCAGCAAGTCACCCGGGCTGCTCCTGCAACCCAAACAAGCACAAAGCTTACACTGTAGCCCTGGAACTGTACAGCAGGGAACAAAACGCACACTCACTGTTCTGAGCGAGCACCCGTAGGAAGCGAGACACTTCTCACGCTCATTCTTCATTACTGCCATCCAGAACAATGTAAAGCTAACTAAAAGACTAAGCTTAGCTTGCATCTGCTATGTAATTAACGCCCAATTCATGCTTCTATTCTCTGACCCTCCAGCTGACGCTGTCTGAACCTGCAGTTTTGTGTAGTGCCTCCAACTTCCAATCTGAACCAGTAGAAGGCCGCAAGGTCAGCAAAGTGATCAAGACCACTGTAGTGCAAGGAGAGAGAATGGAGAAACACTTGGGGGATGCAAGCTTAGCTACTGATCTTCCATCAGCCAAAGAAGACTTTGAAGAGGTAAGAAGGCATTTTAAATGTAAGTACTACAACAAATGTCACAGCAAACCCAGGGACAAATTGTACTCCCCTGAAAGGGTTTTGGTGATGGAGCATCACTCAGCTACTGAGTATAAACCTCGTTATATTCAGCCAGGCTATGACGACTTACAGATGTAAAGCAGAGGAAGAATAACAACATCTGTCATTAGAGCATTAGCTGTGAAATGTTTTAAGGTTCTAAAAACTTTGAGGGTTTGGACTAGAGTAGATAGAACTCACTTGCATGGTTCGTCAGAACAGCCCACTCATGTGCTGCAACACGTGCAGCTGACTTCAGAAATGACAACATCCAAGTCTGCTCTCTAGACAGGTCCGAGCATCACAGCAATGGTTCCTCTCGTCCTTGAAAGAGGAGAGCTACCAGGCTATTCAGTACCTTTCCTGTTTTAATGCTTTTGCTGATCAGCTTAGATATATCAGTAATAGAAAGTTATCTTAAATACATATATATTTTTCCTACAAGGAATTGATAGGCCTTTCATTTTAATCCATCTATTATCCTTTTAAATAATGCAGGCAAACAATACCTTGTCACCTTGAGGCCTCATGCAGAAAAGAGCTTCTTGACAATATAGGTAACATAAGTACTATATTTCTGTAATTTGACAAAATATATCACCTAAGAGTATACATGCAACAATTTCAGGTATGGATTTTCCTCAGTAGAATAGTTGTGCTTACTGCAGGAAGACAACAGCAGTAAGCTGTTTGATTGAGATGCCAAACTTCCCTATAAATATAGGCCCCATAGCCAGATCCCTGTCTCCTGGCAAAACCAACACAAGCAGTTAAAGTTGGCATGTGCTGCAGAGAAGATTCAAAGAATAGGCCATGTCCAGCCAGATGGAAATAAAAATGCTGCCCAGTTTTTTCCCCTGTGAAGTATTAGAAACAGCAGCAGCATTTCCGTGGAACATGTGCAGGACTCACTTCTTGGCCCCTCCATTTCAGTAGAGTCATGGCTCAGAACTACCACCCATCTCTGTCTAGCTACTGCTAGCACTGGGAGCAGGCAACTGTTTTGAGCTCTGTCTTGCTCCCACATCTCAAGAGGACACTTTAAACAGGTATAAAGAACGTTTTCTGCAACATGAAAAGACTGCCCTGCGTGAGAAACTGTTACTCATCTATACATTTGATGAAGATTTGAAAGGACACAAGTGGCAGGCACATACTTCCAGATTATTTGCGTCTTCACACTTTTCTCAGCATGCTTTTTTTTTAAAAAAAAAAAACCACCTCCTCAGCTTTGCATAGATTGAGTCTACTTCATTAATATGAAGAACAATTATCTTATGTCCTAGGGTTCTGTTTCTGTTTTATTTAGGCTTTAAGCTATGCAGGTAACCAAACGAAAGTCCAACCCCCTGCTTTAATAGAGAAAGAAATCATGAAAGATGATGGATCAGTTATTAAAAGGTTTGGCTTGGCATGTCAGTGAGCTATTACTAGAAAAGGACTAACAAACAACTGGATTTAAATGAGTGTCTGAAGTGAAACCACTGTCCAGCAGTATTTGAAGCTTTACTTGCTAAAGTACTAAATACCACTACTAACATTTTTTTTTATGCTGTGTATGTGCAAGAAGCACTGGAAAAGTCTACACTCATTGGAAAGATGGGCTCAATAACAGATACCATTGTCCAATTGATATTTGGTAAAGGATCAGTTTTAATGTTTCTACCTCATTTGTGTCTACATTTGGGATAAGCAGTACCTCACTTCATTGGGAGGGCAGCCCTTACAAGCTGCAAACACCTGCCCTTTTCAGAGATACTATGGTAGTGTTGCAAGGACAAACAGATCTGAGAGGAGTCTCCTTCTCTGGAGATCTTCCAAATGCGCTTGGACGCAGTCCTGTGCCACGTGCTCTAGGTGACCCTGCGTGTGCAGGGGGGTTGGACTAGATGATCTCTAGAGGTCCCTTCCAACCCTAAGCATTCTATGATTCTATGACCTGCTGACCTTCCTCTACTTCCTCTAGAGGAAGTAACAAATATTTGTGTCAAGGCCTTCTGCCTGATAGAGGGATGTTTTTGTCATATAGGTCAAATTAAGAAGCATCAGCTGCCTGATAAAAGAGTTTTGTGCATCTAGCTATTCCTGGCAGAGCAATCAGGAATTTCTAGGTGTGCTGATTCCTATAAGCCTTGCTCACACACACTGACCAAAATTTGGGCTTCTAGATCAGGCTGAAAGACATCTAGCTGTCCAGTGACAACCACATTTACACACACAGATCTGAAGAAGACTAAGGGAGCTTTAAAGTTTTAACTAGTAGGACAAGAGGTTCTGATGAAGTAACAGAACAATTAGCGGAATGAACATTTTAAGATACTGGTTGCCCCAAGTGCACTTTTACTGACAGTCAGAATTAAGACTTGACTTAGACATCTTCGAGAAAACTTTAGATAATACATCTAAAGAAGGTAAAACCATGGTGAGGAAATCTTAAGTTACTGTTGTACAAGACAACACAAAGCTAAACAGAGCAAGGAGGAAGGTCTTGTGTGGCTTTTGATGTTGCCTGTGTGTTACAGCATGTTTTTGTCAAACACATTAAACTGTGCTTATTAAGTATGTACAGATGACCTGCTGTAGTTTACCTTATGGAAGCTGGTTAAAGCAGCATGTCCTTTTTATTCAGAGATATTTTTATGTGCTAAGCACAATTATTGTCTTAATTCTTGCTTCCAGCTAGTTATTCTCATTTTACTTTAAAAGAAATAAGTTTAAAACTGAAAAGGAGTGTTTTTAAAGGCTTTAGGAGCCATGAATTTTAAAGAAAGTTCTCTCATTCTTTTTTCTTTAGGACAACACTGAATAAAGCCAGTACCCAGAAGAGGACTGTGATGAAGGACCAGTATGGAAAATATGTTCACATAGAAGAGGTGGAAGACACACCAGAAGCACTCCCACAGGATGACCTCCAACATGACCTGCAGCAGCTTCTTAGGCACTTCTGCAAGGAGGACTGGAAACACGAAGCCAAGTGAGAAGCTGCCACCCCTTAACAGCATCACATCACCTTCCACCCAGTACGCAGCATTTACCTTCCCAAGGGGTGACATTATTACCTACATAATCCCTGGAAGACACTGCCATTTCGACCCAAGCAGATGCAGCCAATTCATTTTTACCCCTGCCCCCATATATAATTTGGGGTTTTTGTTATTTTTTTACCCTGTAAGCTAATTTGTGACCAAAGATAGCATCCTTCATTCAGGGTGGTTTATCCACCAAATCGTTGTCTTTGTGCTGTACTGGGAATTTATCAGCATCGCCACTTTTCCTGTTCCTTTGCTTCTGCACTAGCTTCACGAAACTGCATTTGTCAACCCAACTTCATCTACAGGCCTCTTCAAGTGACTATGTACATGCATCATTAAAAAAGGAGAGAAAAAAAAGGCAGGGGGATGTTAACATGTAAACTGTATATAGCAAGATTATTTGGACCTAAAAACTGCAGAGAACACACTGCCTATGACTACAGTTAACATAATGGATTACAAGGTCTATTGAAACTGCTGAACATGGATGAAAAAATATTGTTAATGTAATCGACTGAGAATACAGACCAACGGAGGAGGAAGCACTGCAGTTCTCCTGCATCCATAGGACTTCCAATTTAGGGATCTATTATAGTTAAAGGCTCTAAGAGTCAGGTTAAAAACCTGGAAATTCAGCTGTTTTCATGAATTAACAGCCGACTGTGGCCCTCAATGCTTTTAAGACCTTTGGCCAGCCACCTAAAGATTTCCAGAAAGCGGTTAAAAAAATTAAAATAAATTAAGAATACCCAATTAGGTAACCAACTTGCTAGCAGCTATATCTATGGTACATTTGCATACGGTATTAAAACCTTTTAGATCTGGACATGTGGCAGGGTGTATTAAACAATTATAACTACAGTAGTTTCCTGTTTTCATCACTGCTTTAGCAAACCACACTGTCTTATTGATGGTACTTCCTGCTGGCCACTGCACTGTAGATAACTATGGGAGAAAGACCTACCCACTATACAGAGAGATTCATTAATTCACCACGTTTTATCAAGATTGCCTCTGACCCAATACATGCATGTGGCATCTGAAAGTCAAAAATCAACCCTTCTGTAGCCATGTCAGCTTGTTAGCCCTCTTAGCACTGAGCGAGCAGTTTTTATCTTCCAATCCAGTTTTTAAAAAGAGAAAGATGCTCACAATCCTTGAAAGCCAGTTTCTGTTCATATTTTGTTATCTTTATATATATAATATATATTTCTAAATGAACCCTCTGAAAACCATAATAGCATGTCTGCACTTTTATTTTCAAAAAGGGAACATAAAGATCTGACACTTTTGGTGTTCTATAACCTAAAATTTAGTGGTTGGAGCTCTGTAGCGAAATACGATGCACACGCATACCAAATTCATGTGTTTTTAATCAGCTATTTGATTTTAAATACCTTACTCAGAAAAAAAGAAAAGTTATGTCCTCTAGGTACCCCTAGAGGGTACCTATCTGTCCGTTGACCTTTTTTTTTTTTTTTGATTTGTTTTTAAATGACTCACTCAGTGCTCAGAACAAGGGCACTTTCTCATTAAAGTTACAATGCCAAAAGAGCGAAAACATCTTGGGAGTTCTAGCTTCTTGCAGGCAGAACAACACAAAAAGGCATCTTGCTAGCGCACTTTTGGCAGGCAGAGAGAAAACAAGTGTTTTGCAGCCAAAATGAATGAGACCCATGATGAAACATTTCACAATACATTGGGGCTTTCTTACTGTCAAAGACAGCACTGGATGATCTTGAAGAATGGAGCTCTAAGGAAATGCATTTCTGTTGTGTTACTTGCGGTGCAGATGATGTTCTGTGTAACAACATAATGGTTATTCACCTCTTATTTTGATTTTTTGCTGTGTTATCAAAGAACTTGAATACTGTGAGAGAAGTGAATTTTAAGTTGATGAATCAGCATCTTGTTCCCATGGTGATAACACTAATTGAATATATCTATGAGGGCATGTATTAGTTAAAGATTAAAAAAAAAAGAAAAAAAAAGAAATACAACACTAACAATACATAGCTGCAATGTGTACAATGGCTGATTTAACTAAATAAAATGTACAAGTGTTAAATGTAGCAATAATGGCTCACTCTCCTTTACTTCCACACAGCATAGGAAGAACAACATTCATTTGGGTACCCCACTTGGCTTCTGCATTTCCTCAGCGTCCTTAGGATGCAGTTCCACCCCCCCGCCAAAAAAAAAAGGGGGGGGGGCGGGGGCGGGAGCCCCCCCCAAAAAAAAAAAAAAAAGGGGAGGGGAAGGAGAGAATGAGGGGAAGCAATAGGGAAACAAGACCATGACATTGTCCCAGTTTCCAAAAGATAAATAGGAAGTGACTGTAAACACTCGAATTGGCAAGACAAAGCACTGAAGCCTTTCCATAGAGGTTAAAGTAGGTAATAGAATAGGTAGCAAGACTTTATTTCTTCCACACATCAATACCAGAGCATGTGTCATTTGTAACTCAGCACCTGTGACAGAAACACGGCACTCACCTAACTCAGGTTGTTTCACTTAGGAGATGAGGGACACTTGCAGGACAGCAGAAAGGCAACAAATTTGGAGTGGGGCCCACAGCTATGTCCTCAGAGCAACATCAGAGACATGAGATTAAAATGCTTTGAGATCCTAGCCTGACTGGTTTCCAATTCATTGTGTTGGCACACACATTCTCCAACAGAAACACTATTTTACTGAAAGACTTGAGAGAGCAGCAGCATTTTTATAATGAAAGATTTAAACATAAGGCCTAACTTTGTGCTTGCCATGGACTGTTAAGTAGCAACAACTCAAATCCAGTTAGGTCTCTCTCCCAGTTAAAACAAACAAACAACCTATAGATGGAAAACACAGCATCCAGAACCTACTTAAAATCCACTCAAAACTAAACAACCTCTTAAGCATTATCAGCTATTTAATCAGACTATGAGGTTGAACAAATCATCTCAAAAGATTGGAGCTTTACTGCAGCCTTTGTAACCTTCTACTTCGATGCGCTAGCAGCCCCCAGCAGCAGTGGGCACTGTCTGTAGCCCACAGGCACGTCAGAGTTGACAGCACTTTTGCCATCCCTCCCACTGAACACAACCACGGCCAGGACACGCCGTTTCCCAGCCAGGACGACAGTGCCCTCATGCTAACTAGGTGTCACCGCTTCAAAACACATGGGCAAGGGAACAAATTTCATTGTCTCATTTTGGAGAGCATCAAAACCCACCCGGATGCCACCCTGCGCCACGTGCTCTAGGAGCCCCTGCCTGAGCAGAGAGACTGGACTGGATGATCTGGAGTCTCCTTCTCTGGAGATCTTCCAAACCCACTTGGATGCAGTCCTGTGCCACGTGCTCTAGGTGACCCTGCGTGTGCAGGGGGGTTGGACTAGATGAGCTCTAGAGGTCCCTTCCAACCCTAAGCATTCTATGAATCTATGGTATCTAGAGGTGCCTTCCAACCTCAACCATTCTTGATTCTGTGATCTAACCAGTGAACAGTAATAAAGATGCAGTTACCCTACTCCATTAAATTAGAACATGAGAGTAGGGCAAAGTGGAAGGAACTTGGAGGCCTCTCCCAGCCTAATCCAGACAGATGCCTTCAGTGAGGTGAGAGAAAAACTGAGACCAAGATAAAGCTTTCAAGCACCAGGTGATCCCACCTGAGTCAGCCCTTCTCTGTCACGCTTTCTTACAGCCACTTTTCCTTCTCTATGGTACCCCCCCTCAACTATCACATCACACTTCAAAAGTGCTACAAGCATGTTAGCATAGAAAGCAGCAGTTCAAGAGAAGTGCAAAGATGGCAAGTTGGGCAAATCTTTGCATATCCACCAGTAAGGAAGAAACCACTTGTAGGGTTTTTATTTTGTTTTAAATCACTGATGGTATTGTCTCTTCAGTCTCCAGTCTTTGCCATTCTTTTTCAGTCATTGCATAGACCTGTTGTGTCTTCTGATCCAGCCATCTTCCCCCCACTCGCCCTTCACCCTCCCTCAGCACTGGCAGAGTCTGGCTCAGTCCTTTCAGTCGGTTCTGCTTCCTACTCCTATGAGGAGGGAGCAGTTAACACCATTCATGAGGCTGCCCAACACACCTTGCAGTAATGAGCTCGACACAAAGTGTGCAAGGGGGAGTAGCTCAGAATGTTTTTGAATCATTTAGGGTTAGCAGAAACACCAGTTCATTCTGCTCACATGCTATGGGGCAGTTCCGATCCAGAGCTGCTCCCAAAACTAAACCCTGTTCAGTCATAGAAAACCACCCGACAAACTACAACTACTACAACAAAATCCTCCCCCACCTATTCCATAAAAAGCCATGTTAAACATTAAGTGAGCTGAAAATGCTGTGCACAACTTCCAGATGGGAAATTGCGATTCAAATCACTGACTCCTTTGCCTATAAAAAGGCTTTTCTGATCCATTCCAATAAACCAACCTCCGTGGTCAGAATTGCCCTCTTCCTGATGAACATTACAGTCTCTTTCTACTTGCTCAGTCACCACCCTTGCCCCCACGGTGCTCAGGGATAAAGCAGGACACACCTGACTACCCTTCAAAGCAGTGCGGTAACCAGCCCCAGGGTCCTCCCCATCCACCAGCCATCTCTATTTGACACCAACCATGGAAGCGCCTGTGCTGACCAGCGGCCCTGGGCAGCTCGGCGTAGCAGCCAACAAGGCACCGCCTCGCACCGCCCGGGCAGCGGCAGAGGCGCAGCGCGAGGCCGCAGGCTGGGGGCGGGGCCGCTCTTGGCCAGCGCCGCGCCAGGCCGGCGGCCCGGCGCAGGGCTGCCCGAGCAACAGCCGCTAGAGCGCAGCAAGGCACCAGCTTCAGACACAACCAACCAACACCCTGTCCTTGAGGTCAAATACTGCAGCACCAGCAAGAAAGTCCCCAGCCCCCTGCTCAAATATTAAAAAAAAAGAAAAAAAAACAACAAAAAACAAACAAAAAAAACACACACACACTCTTAAAAATTGGGCTTTTATGGGGCAAGTAAGAGGAAAGAGCAAGAGATCCCGTGATACCAGTGGTAAAACCAGGAAAACACAGATTTAAGCAAGAATATGAGAATATTTTGTGGCCATTTATGTGGTTATGCTGCACTTCTATCCCTTCTTGCTTGCTGGGACTACTAAAACAGACATTTATTGTCAGTGTACCAGAATAAGCACCTCACTACAAAATATTAAAGCAAATTTTATATTTATAGCTTGTCCTGTCATTCATCAGATTCCAAGACTGACAGCCACAGTATGTAAAAATGCTGTGTGGCCAGTACTTCCAGACACATTAGAAGTGGTCTGGGTTTTAACCTCCATTTAAATCCCATAGCCAGGAATACATTTTCTTCTCAGCCAAGATAGTAAAAATGTATTTGATGCTCTTTTATCATTATTTACAACTTTAAAATTGCCTCTGTGCTTAGTTGTTTAAGACGGGAAGCACAGCTGCAGCCCCCATACCTAGGTGCTCAGCCCAAGCCCATTGCCTTCAGAGAGGCTCCCAAGTCAGGCCAAATCTTATGTAGCTGGTGAAACCTTAAGCATTCTATTCACACTGGAAAATGGCTGTATCATTTACTAACAGCTCTGTTTTCAGATTCCTGCAATTTCAAATCCAGACATTACAAATTTCACAAGTATCTGGCAATGGCAGCAAATCTGGTAAATGATACCCAGACCCAGAATAACTTTGTGATATTTTATTGCTGCGTGCTGGG